AGCACTTTAACAAAATAATGTTACAGATCAAAAGAAGTGATCAATTTTTTTACGTGAAACCGTAAAAAAAAAACTGTTATGACATTTGATTTTAAACGGGTGACATCGTTAATTATCTGTATGAATAATAGGTTTATAAAAAAACCATAACCTCATGGCCAAAATCATATTAAGATATTGATATTAAAAAAGGAGACCCTTATAACCCCCGTGGCCAAAAGCTTTACAATGTCAAGTGATTTTACCCTAAGTTTTTAATAAAATAGTTTATCTAGGACTTAGGGAGGAGACAAGACAACAATATTGTCGTAGGGAAGTAACATAAGTAGTTTAGTTAGACAGGTATCAAGGAAAACACATTCTTTCGACATAGATTCCTTGCAAGAATCTTAAAGAAAAGTTCTAACTACTCTTCCAAGAGACTTGGAGTATAATTTGATCCAATTTCATTAACCAACAATCTTCTATGGGTGATCAAAATTCATCAGCGGTACAACTATAATTATTGTTTAGGTATACGAAACATAATGACTAATTATTAAATATACGTGAAAATATTATGAAATGTATTGATTATAAAAATTAATAAGAGAATTGAATTTGTCGTGTAATTATAATTTTTGAATTTTTTTTTTCGATCAAAATTTATTATTGGGTACAATTATCATTAATGCTCACATATATGAGATCTAATCATTAAAAATTATATATACGTGTAAATATTATGAAAGTTATTGACTAAACGAAATTAACAAAAAAAATTGAATTCGTCGTGCAATTATAAATCTTAATTTTTTTTATAAGAATTCATTATTGGTCCAATTATCATTCATACACACATATATGAGTTAATCATTAATAATTATATATACATGTAAATATTATAAAATATATTGACTAAATGAAATTAATGATCAGAACTGAATTGGTCGTGTAATTATAATTGTTGAACCTAATAATTTTTTTGTGAACAAAATTCATTCTCAGTACTCACTATTGATCAGTCACATATATGAAACCTAACTTTTAATAATTAACTTTTACATATATAGATGTATATACTAAGATATGTATCGAAAAGTATTGATTAAAATAAATAATGAAAAGAGATGAACTCCCGATGCAACTAAATAACGTAGGAAGATATATATAATATGCACATTGTTTTTAATTAAATACCAACCTTAGCTAGTTAGACATTTTCTAATTAAACCCATGCATTCTATAGTTGATTTTCAAGAATTATATATATAGCAGTTAGGAAATATGCAGCTGCCAGCCCCCAATACCATGGAAACCCCTTAAAGCTATACAGGAAATTAATCTATGTAAGAGATGCATGTTGAGCTGCATATCCTTGGAACTACATAACAATTCTGGTCCCAGAGGGAAATGAAGTAGAATGAGCTCAGCAGGCTCGTCACTGAGGACCATTATACCATACGTTCAACGACCCCTCTCTCCCCTCCCTGCTGCAATTGAACGGGTAAAAACACCATTCATGCATCTCTCGTTGCACCCCCTCCAATTCTTGGTAACGTGTCACATCCTCGACCTTTAGATCAGGTGATGATCAAACGGGAATCAAAGTGTTTCAACTAACTCTCCCCCCGAGCTAGCTTCTTCCCAACAACCACTGCCTTATTTCTGTCAGCACCCGTTCTATTTAAAGAGCTTGGATAGTTTTTGACGATTCATAGTCAAAGACCCAACATTTTCATTTTCTTTATTTTCTTGGTTTATACTTTGTTTTCCCTCATTTTCACAGAAACCGCAAGAAACAATCTGTTTGGCTTCTGGGTTTTTTTCTGTTTACGTATAGATCATTTTGGACTCAACAGCCATGGAAGTGTCACATGGGGATGAAAACAGTGGAGCTGTGTCACCAGAAAAACTGTGCCAAAATGATCCATTAAACTGGGTTTCTGCTGCTGAGTCATGGAAAGGAAGCCATTTGGATGAAGTGAAAAGAATGGTGAATGAATATCGAAAGCCGGCGGTGAAGCTGGGGGGTGAGACACTGACCATAGCGCAGGTGGCTGCAGTGGCGGCCCGTGTTGATGGAGTCATGGTTGAGCTGAGTGAGTTGGCCAGGGCCGGTGTCAAGGCAAGCAGTGATTGGGTTATGGACAGCATGAACAAAGGAACAGATAGCTATGGAGTTACTACTGGTTTCGGTGCCACTTCACATAGGAGGACCAAGCAAGGAGCTGCCTTGCAAAAAGAACTCATTAGGTAAATTAAATTTCCTTACCTCATGACAAAGTTTGCGTTTGTTGTACTGAATGCCATGATGTTACAATTTGAGAGACAGCAATGCCCAGATGATGAATTTTGCACCAGAAATGGTATATTCAATCAGGCAAAGGAAGCTGTAGCTAAGTCGAAAAACAGGCATTAGAAACTGAAGTTTGGCTAGAATTATTTATTCTTAATTAATAGGTTAGGTGGTCACATTTTCACCCAACTCTACCTTACGTTTACCACTAGCTTGGGGAATTGAGTCTCTTTCTCTGATCAGGTCATATATCACACGTTGCATCATTGCTATATATCTCACATGTTAACTTTACAAGAAAAAAAAATAATTGTAAAATTTGGATACTAAGTATATGTCATTTGATTGTATTGAAAACAATACCTGCTATGCATATAAGTTAACATTTCCCATTTTTGGCAAAAATAATTTCTATTGTGTTAATAATGGGCATATAGTGAATTGTTTCCATTGAGCAATTTTAAGAAACATATTTCAATTTTGTTGAGCAGATTCTTGAATGCTGGAGTCTTTGGAAGTGGCACAGAATCTTGCCACACATTGCCACATACAGCAACAAGAGCTGCAATGCTAGTGAGAATCAATACACTCCTCCAGGGCTACTCAGGCATTAGGTTTGAGATCCTGGAAGCCATCACAAAGCTACTGAATCACAACATCACACCATGTTTGCCTTTGCGTGGCTCAATTTCTGCCTCGGGTGATTTAGTTCCCTTTTCATACATTGCTGGACTCCTCACGGGACGGCCGAATTCCAAGGCTGTTGGTCCCAAAGGAGAAGCCCTTGGTGCCAACGAAGCCTTTCATCTTGCAGGCATTAATGGTGGATTCTTCGAGTTGCAGCCTAAAGAGGGTCTAGCATTAGTTAATGGCACAGGAGTTGGTTCTGGCTTGGCTTCTATAGTTCTCTTTGAGGCTAACATTTTGACTGTCTTATCTGAAGTTTTGTCAGCAATATTTGCTGAGGTTATGCAAGGAAAGCCAGAGTTTACAGATCATTTGACTCATAAGCTGAAGCACCATCCTGGCCAGATTGAGGCTGCAGCTATTATGGAACACATTCTGGGTGGAAGTGCCCTTATTAAGGCAGCACAAAAATGGAATGAAATTGATCCCCTGCAAAAGCCAAGGCGAGATCTATATGCGCTTCGTACTTCCCCACAATGGTTGGGCCCTCAAGTTGAAGTGATTCGATCATCAACGAAGTCCATCGAGAGGGAGATTAACTCGGTGAATGATAACCCATTGATTGATGTGTCAAGGAACAAGGCCTTGCATGGCGGAAATTTCCAGGGTACTCCTATTGGTGTGTCTATGGATAACACAAGATTAGCAATAGCCTCAATCGGAAAACTCATGTTTGCTCAATTCTCTGAGCTTGTCAATGATTTCTACAACAATGGGTTGCCATCGAATCTGTCAGGTGGTAGGAATCCAAGCTTAGATTACGGGTTCAAGGGCGCTGAGATAGCTATGGCAGCATATTGCTCAGAGCTCCAGTTTCTGGCTAATCCTGTTACCAATCATGTCCAGAGTGCAGAGCAACACAACCAAGATGTGAACTCGTTGGGGCTAATCTCTGCCAGGAAAACAGCTGAAGCTGTTGACATCTTAAAGCTGATGTCTTCAACATACATGATTGCGCTCTGTCAGGCTATCGATTTGCGGCACCTGGAGGAGAACTTGAAGAACGCAGTCAAAAACGCAGTGAGCCAAGTTGCCAAGAAAGTCCTAACCATGGGGGTAAGCGGGGAGCCTCACCCTTCAAGATTCTGTGAGAAGGATTTGCTTAAAGTGGTCGACCGTGAGCATGTTTTTGCATATGTTGACGATCCATGTAGTGCAACATACCCACTTATGCAAAAGCTGAGGCAAGTCCTGGTAGAACATGCCTTGACAAACAGTGATGATTTGAGTAACGCAAATGCTTCCATCTTTCTTAAGATTGGAGCTTTCGAGGAGGAATTGAAGAGAGTCTTGCCCAAGGAAGTTGAAACTGCAAGAACTGCTTTTGAAAGTGGTAATCCAGCAATCCCAAATAAGATCAAGGAGTGCAGGTCCTACCCTTTATACAAGTTCGTGAGAGAAGGCTTGGGAACTGAGTTTTTAACAGGAGAGAAAGTGAGATCGCCAGGTGAGGAATGTGATAAAGTATTCGTTGGAATGTGTGAGGGGAAGTTGATAGATCCACTCCTCGAATGTCTCAAGGGTTGGGATGGCAATCCTCTTCCAATATGTTAAAGAAACCCTGTCTGCCCTCTGGTTGGAAAAAGCTTGTTATATTATATACGTAAATGTAAATTGGTGTTTCAATACCAAAAAGATTTGAAGGAGAGAGAATAAAGGGACTAACAGACCTGTTTTGTTATGTCAAAAATGGTGCTATGCTTTTCTGGTTTACCATTTTTATTTTTAAATTTTTTGTACCAAATCTGCATTTGGAGGTTATCTATGCACAGCAATAAATGAATTAAAATTTTTGTTGCTGGAAGTCTGAGAGAAATATGAGCCTATTGAACCTATTCCAATGTTTGATCAGCTAACAATTAAGTATAAATTTCATTTTTACAGTATTTGATTGTCACAATCCTCGTCAACTTGTAAAATATTATTCACTTCAACCATTAAACTTCACGATTTTAATCTATAAAAAAAAAACTCACAAATTGAAATAATAATATGAACACCTAAATATCAATCTCATTTTAATACACAATCCGTGTAAAATTCACCATAACCCTTTATGATATTCTTCCCAAATGAGGGTTTATTAGGCAGTAACATTGCCGGTTTAAATTAGCTGATATTACGCTCACCCACCCATGCTTTGAACAATATGTAAATGTAAAAAAAAAAAAAACAAAAGGAATTGAAAATATATATATACACCTTACAAATTAAATAACTATCAGCTACAAAGAGTGATCCATATACAATCAAGCTGACCGCCAATTTCCTAGCAAAGTCACATTTCAATTTTTGACCTTGCACTAGCTCTCTGAGTCGAAAATTGAAAAGATCCGTCATTGCTACATTAGATCTAAGTTTACATCTTGCGATTACGGTTAGTCATCATCTGATAAACAAACAATGTCAGTTGCTCCACTTTGCTGTGCTGGGTTAGACTGAATTCTTGGCAAGCTAGATTCCTGATAGACCAATGTAGCTAAGCTTGAACTAACACCTGGTACTAAGTTGTTTAGGGGATTTGTATTAGCTCCCGATAGATTGTTTATGCCCATCAAGACATCTAATGAAGGTAAAGAAGCGTTAGGTGGAGGTGCCAACCCTCCAGTAGTTTCAGGTGGGATCCTACCGGATTGACATGTAGTTGATATCGGCCTATGTGCAGGGGGGTTACCATATGATTGGCCTCGCACTGGAGGAGCCACAGGATGGTTACCATGCGCCTGCTGATTCGACATTCCACGAGACTGGGATGGGAGACTGCCGGGGGAAATGGATGTTGAAGGTCTGAATGGCTGTAGATGTGGGGCGGGAGCACGAATTTCACTGCTCATTTGAAGGTTTCCTGCAGAAGGGGATATGGAACTGATATGGGGAGGTCTAGTTGGAGTGCCAGAGAAAAATGCAGAAGGGTTAACGGCCTGCAAAGGTGGACCCGTGGTTTGTGCATTGACTACAGCAGGTGAAATGGTTTGCGTGCCAGCTGAACCATTTGGAGGGAGGCCAGACGCAATGGAAGGCTGTTGTACCGTCTGTTGTGATGAAAGTTGAACCAACTGCTGCATGAAACTCGAACTTGCCTCTGCCAGGTATACAATAATTAGGTGGTAAGTATAATGAAACATTGCAAAAAGGCCAATCTTATATATGTGGAAGCAAACAAGGCAAGATGTATTGTCATATTAGGTTCTGAGCTTTTTAGCAAGCATTAAATTTTCTTGTACATATGGAGACTGGTCTATATGTCAGCACGCGCACACACTGTTAACATGCACACACTCTCTCTAAACTTGCAATAGCAAATACTGGTAACTTAAGCAACCGATACAAATGCCTCTAAATTTTCTTAAATGATTAAGACTATACCATGTCCCAAACATGAAGACTCAATAAATCTGGAATTGAGCATGTCTCCTAAACCCACCACATGCCAGTGCTAATCAAATAAGAGAATTTCATCTAGTGGCTCAATCAATGCACCCATCCGATTCTTTATTTTCCCATTTTCTGCGTTAAAATTACCAAGTAAAAGTAGATTCACCTTGATGTGCTCCTGCCGAGCCAGATGCCCTAATATCCATACATTTAGACCTGAAAGCCTCAGCCAAGATCTTGTTCAAGAGAACTTTGTTGTAATTTACATCAAGCTCCTTTTTCTGAAGCAGAAATTCTGCCTCTTTCTCCTTAAGTTTAGCTTTATAATTTCTACGAATCTGAGCTATAGCCTCCTCAATCTGCTTCTCACATTCCGATTTCAGCTGCAGCTTCTGTTCAAAGGAGAGGAAGTTCTCAGCTCAAACTGAACCACATATCACTATCAGTAAATAAGCCAGCAAGTAAAAAGAACACTAACCATGTCTTCATGAATCTTAATGGTTTGATCTGTTTCTTTGCGTATTCTTTCCATTTCATTTTGAAGTGGGTCATTGTACAAAGGCAGAGGCATCCGAGATGATACAGCAGGTGCAGTCTGTACAGGAAGGCCACTAGAAACAGGAGGGAGTGAAGCAGTCCTTGTTTCTGAAGCTTGTCTCACCAGCCCACCAATAGTGCCATCAATGGGTGAATGCAGAGGCTGCAAAACATCTTGATTGGAAAGCTCAATATGGTTTGCCACTGATTGTCTCAGAGCCTGAGAAATTTGGTTGGCAGTTTGGCCTTCATTGTTTGATTGATGTTCAATCGCACTCACTGAAGGTAGATTAGGAGGAGAGAGATAAGAAGTTGATTCTCCGGATCTCATCACCTGCGTTCGCTTGCTAAGCTCCAGAACTGTTGTGTCAGGATTGGGCTCATTGCATCTGACATCAATGGTGGCATTAGGTGATGAAGTTTCAGCTACCTGAGAAGCAGTTTGCGTTTCACTATTCACAACATCTCTAGCCTGTATTGCAGATGGAAGAGAACCCGCATTGGGAGATACCTGCCCAAATAAAATATCCTCATTAGATTGGGAGCTGGACTTTTAGCATGGTATTTACAGCATCATTACTTCAAATTTTGGAACAATCTCCTCACCACATGAATATAACCTGAATAAAAAAACAATGTAGAGCAGCCATAACGATGCAGATATTCATTACCTTCTCTGTCATTATTCCGTTTTATTTTTTGGGTGTGAAATGTCAACTTAAGACTTCTTTAAATAGAAAAGTCCAGCAGAATATTCCAAAAAAGAATCTGCATCAAAACCTTAATACATTCAAGAAAATAATAATCTTACATACCTGATCTGGTGCCAATGGACCACCTTGGTCAACAATAGGCACATGCTGCACTGGAGGAAGATCTGCCAGAGACGGTTCTTCAAATTCAGGCTCCTGGTTCACGGTACATACTTCAACATCCTGCTGATCAATTCCTATGGCACTTGTTTGAACATTCTGTCTATGAACACTACCACCCTCAAGGACTTCACTAGGAGCAGTTTCAGATTCTACCAATGACCCCTCTTCAGCAGCATCAGTTATTTGTTCTTTAGATGAAGGATTTTGGCAGACCATGCCATGACTGGAAGTTTCAATCTCAGATGTGCTCTTTGGAACTTCTCCATCAGACACAATGAATGTGGCTCCACCAGGGATATGTTTTTCAGATGAAGAATTAGCAGTCGTGATATTCTCCTGACCTTCACTAGAACCGACAGCTTCAGCCGCACTTGAGGGAAGCACCACATCAGCCATGCTTAATGTGGCTCCATCAGGAATTTCTTCAGATGAAGGTGCTTCAGCTGAGCTGAGGTTCTCCTGACCTTCACCAGAAATGGCAATCAGAGGTTCTCCTAAGGGAACCTGCCCATCAACTTTCCGTAAATTGGTTCCATCAGGAACTTCTACAGATGAAGGTGCTTCTAAAGAGATGAGGTTCTCTTGACCTTCACAGGAAATGACAGTCACAGATTCTCTCAAGGGAACATCCTCATCAATCTTTCTTAATGAGTCTCTATTAGAAATTTTTTCAGATGAAGGTGCTTGCAATGAGGCAAGTTTCTCCTGATTTTTACAGAAACTGACACTATCAGCTGCTGTAAAGGGAATAGGCTTGCTCAATGTGGCTCCATCAGGAATTTCTTCACATGAGGGTGCTTCCACACAGATAAGATTCTCTGGACCATCGGTAGGAGGAACAGTCTCAGGATCCCCATTTGACATGTTTAATTTAGATCCATCAGAAATCTTGTCTTCATCTGAACATCTCATGGAAGGGAAACAGTCCGTTACATAACCTGAAGTTACAGTTACAGGAACATCTAGTGCAACCCCTCCATCTGGAATTTCTCCACCAGAAACCCCTTCTCTTGGACATGAAGCTTTGTAGACAGCTTGTTCTTCATCACCACCAGAACAGACAGTTACATTACACTCCTCAACTGATGCTCCCTCTGAGTTCTCTTTGAAGGGTCTAGCCAAACAAGTTACTCTACAGATGGGATCACTACATGCCATAATGTCATCAGGAACAATGTGAATGCTTTTGGACACTCTTACCTCGTTTCCTGACACAGAATGAATAATGCCAGCAGAACTCCTTCCTTCAGAAAGATTCACCTCACTTACAGGCGGCCTCACAAACTCAGCCTGAGCCCAAGCCTTAACTGCTTCCACCCAACGAGTTTTACTCTCTAGAGCATTGCTTCTTGCACTCAACTGCTCTGCTTCAAGATTCTTAAGGTGCACATCCATCTGCAGTTTGAGTTCATCAAATTTCCCAGCATATTCAATATCCAATTTCTTGAGCTTATCAGTTCTCATAGTGACATTACTAAGCAAACGGATAACAGCTGCTTCTGTTCTTTTCTTATTCTCCAGCTGTGCCTTTTCTTCCTCACACTTCAGGTTAAATTGCTTCATTTCCTCCCTTTGCTTCTCACGAAGTTTTGTCATATGCTTATCACATTTTTTTTGAATTTCTTTGATGCTTTTTAGAAGATCTCTCTGTGCCAAGTGAAATTCTGGGGCCACTCCAGACTCTGCACGGACCTGTACATCAGAACCCTCTTGAAACCCCAACATATCTTCAATCTTTGCTTTTACATTTTGATGGCAAGATGTTGCATTGGAATAATCTCGACCCAGGGCTTTACTTGATTGTTCAGAACCTTTGGGAGAGTTTGGGACCTTCAAATACCCTGTTCGATATAGAAACATTCTCTTCAAACACCGCAACAGTGAATAGACATAGTCTGCCTCATCTTTCTTGCAGGTAAAACCCAGATGCTGCTTTGCAAGTGCAAGTGATTCTTTGTGATCAATTTTGTGCTTCAGCAAAGATGCTGCACTCCAACACTGAATGTACAGAGATCAGAAGATTAAGATGTTAAAAGATCCAGAACATCATTACAGCATGCATACATGCTTATAAGCCCCATGTAACAGAAAATATAGTTAGAAACCTAAAATATTTATAGCATATATACAAAACGGAAGCACCAGTACACAATCCCAACATCAAAGTGAATGCTTAAATACAGACATATAAGCACACATATTGGTAAACACATCTAGAAAAGTTGTTTATATCAAAGAATATTGGACAGAGGGGAAGAGAGATACAGAAACCAACACAGACAGGCTCATTTGATTTATTTTTTAGACCTAAGAACTACACATTACATATTCAGTTCTTCACCTCACTCTCTCTCCACATAACCTGAGTCATTCTGCCTGAACTGAAATTTCACTTGCCAACAGATTAGAGACATACTTTGATATAAATCTAATCTATTTAATCAAGACTGAAGTTCAAAGTTTCAACCCATTCCCTCTAAATTATTTGAGTAGATCATTAGACAGATAGCTATCTTCAGCAGCAAAAACTTGTAGAACATTTTGAGCACAAGTTCTAATTAAATAAGACATGCAACTCTTAATGGGATGATAGAAATTTCATTTTTCACAGCTCCTCACCTTTTGAAACCATGATTAAAAATCATACCACTCTTTTCAGCCAAAAACTGCAAACATGATAAAGAAAGAACGGAGCTTTGGCTATGCCAAGTGCAAACTCATGAACCAAATATACTACACACAAGATTCAGTACATAATCTAAAACAGATTCTGCACACAATCTAAAACAGATTCCAAACAACTTGCCAAAAAAAATTGAAGCTCAATTTTGATAAAAAGCTAGGCATGAAAGATGCATGGTCCTGACTCCGAAGTAAGTGTTCCATATCAACAGGACTTCTATCATATAAATTCCCATTACAAAGGCACAACTGCAAATTCCACTGAAATCTATGAAAAAGATGAGTGGACATCAAAATTTGATGTCGAATTGTACAAAAAAAGACAAGCATAAATGAAAGCATAACCTGATCCTCTATTACATACAAGACTGCCAAATAGAAATTACCATTCAGCATATGAAAGATGCCATTAACAACAATTGCAGAATGAATTTAGGAACATAAGAGAGAATAAAGGTCTAACCAGAGAAATCTGAAATGCCTGCAAAATGGTTTCTGGTTCCCTACTGACCCGATGATTATTCATAACATATTCAAGGAACCTTTCAACCATAGCTTTGACAACCTCCTGTAACAAAAGTAAGATGTTACAATATAGCAGGCTATTACAAAGACTGAATTCAATAGAATAGAAAGAAAATTGCAAGTACACTATTTCAGAAAATACATATAAAATATTTATAACAATGAGCTCAAAAAACCGCCTTGCAGAGTTAGTAAATAGATGAATAAGGATCTATTTTGCCACCTTATCTCCAGGGGAAATTTTTTCAGAAGCGGAACACAGGACAAACAGGGAACATTTCTACAAAATGAAAAAGAACAAAAAGAAAACCAAGGATGCTTCAAAGTCATTTGAACTTGCTTAAAAGCAAGGAACATCTTCTACTGTGGTTTCTTTTCATTCTAGCAAACAAAATATACGCAGGCAAGATAAAAAACTAACAGCAAGTTCTGAACACATATTAAATTTACTTCTTCAACGTAGTAATTAAGGTACATACTGAGAGATGTAACACTTCACAGAGTTGCGCTATCTGTGGCATCAAAAGAACATGGAGATTCTTCTGTGAATCACGCTGTTTTCTTCTGTCCTCCCTTTCAACCATGTTAACAGCTGGTATTTTTGAGATATTATTGGCCAGATGAAGTGAGTTAGAGATTGCATGAATTTCATCACTCTCAGAAGCTGTTGATCTACTCAAAGAATGAGACAAACCATTTGCGAAAATTCCTAAGATTCCTGCAAAAAATAAAACAATGAGTCAAAAAGAATATTCAGGAAATAGAGAATTCTCTTCCGCCAAAACTGCCATTCATTGCATTTACATTGCCATTACCTTCCCTGTCCCCAGCAGCCATTTTCCCCTCACGCAGCCCAGCTTTTGGAGAGAGATGATCATTGCAATCACTGACTACCTTCTTGCGCCTCTTTACAACTTCAGAACTTTCAGCCTCAGGTTTCTTTAGCAAGCCATCAAAATTTTGAACCCTTTTCCGATTCCTCTGAGATGAACAAGAAGAATACTTCCACTGTGGATTCTTTCCCTCCAAAAGTTTTGTCCAAAATATATGAGGTGGATCTTCATTCATCACCTGAATTTTCTGCTCACCAAACAAAGGCATTTCTGTCCTATACGTTCCTTGCTTTTGTTTGGCTAGTAAAATTAGGGATAACTTGCTTGCATCATTGTCTATTCCAGTTTGATCTAGTATGATAAAACACTCTTTAATCACATCTATTAAATGTGATTGCTCAGACAAGGTGCCTGCATCTGATGTTGGGATACCATGAAATTTACCCAATTGATTGAATAGATGTGAAGCCCCCCACTTCAGCAGCATGTGACAACTACTAGGGCTTACATTATGTGTGTTGCTATCAAGTGTCTTATCTTGTTTTGAAAGCATCAAAACTTTTTCCTCCACCGTAAATGATGAATATAAACGGAATATTTTTATTTGTTCAAACTGAGAATCAAGTGTTATCCTCTGCAGGGCTCTTAGATCATTCATTGGGCTCCAATCACTTCCAAATATTATGACGGTACCAACTGCGGATAATTTTATGCTGGGAAGACAAGCACGGGTTTCTAATAGAAAGACAAATCTCTCTCTCTCATTATTAAATTTGTTCAAAGCAGATTGCTTCTTTGAAAGGAAAACACCACCATCAATACGCTCATAAGAATCTGCACCAAATCTTTGACGCAGAAAGTCATCCAAAATATCTCCCAATAAATCTCTTCCAGAGCCACCAATTGACTGTCAATCGAACCATCTACGTAAGAACCATAAAATAGCCAAAATCTGTTTTTTGCAAGAGCAATAATATTTGTATGTGCATGTGTGTCATACAAGTGCACTAATGACAGAAGTATTGCTCTTTAGACAATAAGGGTTGATTAAAATTACACACTAATGACAGTAAAGTAGGTCAGAACACAACACAACCAAATTAATACCAGCAGAAAAAAAACCATTGCATATTCAATTTCAATCTCAAATACAACTTCAAGACATTAGCATCAAAAGGCAGAGATTAAACATTAATTGACACAATGACCTACTTAACTAGCTTCTTCTAGTTCACCAGCATTATTATCATAAAAGAGTCAGTTTGGCCTGGCTGGGGTTTCATCAGAAAATGCAGTTGAACCAGAACTTTTTGAAGAGTTGTTATTTTGAATTTATCAGAAATCACTAAGAATATGTTTTGTCAATTGAAACTATCCATTAAAAATGTCCATCACTTTCTCATTGCAGTTTCTTGAAAGGTCCAATTTGCAGTTTCAGATTTAGCCTCTAGAAGCTCATTTTCGACTACTGCAAAAGCTAAAGTTTGATACTCAAGACCTGTTTGGCCACTTCAGCTTAAAGGAGCAGGAAAGCTGATCCAAAAGCAAGGCCAAAGAGGCACTAAGCAAAACATTAATTTTTACATGTCAGACAAGCATTAGACCATTTTGATTTCTGCTGCCTGTTGAAGCGGCATAATGGTGTATAGCAGATGTGGTACTTGAACAAGTAACATGGTAGGACCCAGGAATTTAACTTCATCTGCTTTCACAAATTAATAAATGAATGTAAAAGTTATTTACTATTTAAAAGGGCAAAAATTTACAAGTTTTTCACGTACATTAATCGCTTTAACATCAAACGCAAGAGAGTATCAATAATCCAAAACATGTATAACACAACTAACTGCAATTGGTTGCAAAATCAATGTCAAGACAAAACCTACCTGGAAAAGAATAAGGACTTTTAACTCTCGTTTCTTGATTTCCGAAAGCATTGCATCAAGAAGTTGTAATTTGCCACTGGCTTTTATGCCAACATCCAAAAACTCAATCTCTTTAAGGCTTTTAGTGAGCAACATTTGAAGGGATTGATCCACAACATACGGATGATCACAACACTGCCAAGAATTACAATGAAATCACAATATCAATAGTAAATTTTTACATATCTCATCATAATGCACATATCATTCACAAAAAAGCTCCAACACAAATTCATCTAATGTAACAGAAAGTACAATAAAAAAAAAACCAGGTGTTTTTATGCTTTTGAAAATAAAAAGTAAATAAAAAACATTCAAACAACAAATTAAAAAAATTGAATTTCTGCCACTTGGGCTTAGCTCAAGTGGTAAGAGTGGATGGGGGTTTGGTGAAGAACTGAGATCCTAGTTTTGAGCCATACCGATCCCTCTTGTACCAATAAATAAATAAAATTGCATTTCTAGATTTTCTAACGAGCATCAGAATACTAACTCCAAAGGGCAGAACTTAGGATAATGCACCAGAAAATTTCTATTCTTATTGTTGAAATATAACCTAACCCTAATTTCTGAAGTCCATACTGCAGGTAAAGACAAAAAGTCAGCAAATTAGCACAAAATATTTGATACATTAGACAATGAGACTAAAAATTTGAAAATATATATGTGTGTGTGTGTGTGTGTATGTATATAAAGAGCCTAATCTCACATAACCATTTAGTTGATGCAAAGAGTTTAAGTAAACTCAACCTTACGGCTGGAGATAAGAATGTTGCGGAGTGCTCCAACAGGATCAGTCTTTGAAGGTGAGCAAAGAGAGAATGAGTTTGAAAGTAGAGTAAAACAATACTGCTCTAGCTGCACATTGGATAGAAGCACAGGAACCCAGTACTCTACAAACCTAGATGATTCTAATTTGCATTCATAAGCAATATATTTTGCCAACCTCTCCTTCAAAGTACCAATATTATCACTTGAATTCATTAGCAAGCTGTCACTACCATTTAAATTGCTTTGAGAATCAAGCAGAGAAAGAAGATTAAGGTACTCAGCCACATTATCCTGCAGAAACCAGGTAAAATACATAAATCAACCTCCACAAAACAGCAACAACAATTGAAACGTAGAAATGCCAAACCTTCAGTTGACTGCTAACAATTAGAAGCCTCTTACTAGCAGTTAACATCTTAATTTGTTCAAAACATGAAGCAATTCTTGGACGTTGGCACTCATCCACTATTATTGCCTCCCACCCTATGGAAGCAAGCACATCCAAGTCCTGCAGAACCACATTGAAATTAAGAGGCAAACCTATGCCAGGTGAATTTAAAAAAAAAAATGGCAATAGAGGTTTTCCTTCAATTGATAATAACAAAACCAAAATTCGAGCAAAATAGTTACATTAATAACAATAATGATGCAATCTACATCCAAATAACTCTGAACACAAATTGATCAAAACAAGATGCACAAAAGTACAAAACTCTCACACAAAACCAACAAGGATACACCGTTTGATCCTTGCAGCAACTTGTCAAACTTAAACCCAGACAAAATCTTCAAAACTTAATTTATCACAGATGCTGCATATATACCTCGCTGATAACTTCTGGTGAGGTTATAAGTACTTGAAACATTATGCAACCTCCTTCTTCATAAAACTCCAGGGTCCTAATACTTTTCCGAATTTCTTTACTGCCACTGTAAACCACAACATCAACAGATGGTGCCAAATGCAAGAACTCCTCATCCCATGAATATTGTGAAGAGGAAGTTGAGATGATGAGGAAAGGCTGAGAGATATCAGATGAAGAAGACAAAATGAATGAAATGACATTCAGAATCCTTTCCTGCAAAAAATAGGGACCATTCAGAACCACTGCACAAAAAACTATGCAGTTCACTGCCATCACAGAATGGTACTAAAGAGATCATTAGTACGACTACAACGGTCTGAGCAACCATTAACATCAGATATTTGATTTTTGTCATCTTTCAGGACCAATAAAATAATATTCAGAAGATAAAAGTCAATTGATGTTAAAAAATCATGCCTAGAGAAAAACCCTAATATAAGAAACTATGTTCTTTCCATTTATGTAAATGTACAAACTTCTTAAAGTGGACCATGATAATATGATGGGATGCACTATATGAACATATATACATGTTTAATGCATAAACTGCATATTCACACCCTTAGATTACATCTTTTTAGAAATTCTAATACTTGTCCTGCATTGGCAAAATGAGAAAATTAATTATTACTTATCAAATATGAAATAATAACCCAATAACTTCACATGCATATATGTGAATATATATATATGTCATCAAGTGCATCCATAGGGTGCATTTTTTGCATTTTATGCTACATCAAACATTTATAAGGTTAATGAAAGAGTGTGCGTGTGTGCGTGCGCGCACGTGTGCAATTTGGTGTATTACAAAATTTTCAAGCAACAACTTGATGAGACCAGGAAACTATCATGATTCAACCTGACATACTTGATCAGATGATTTTCAGATGCACCACAAACTAGAATAACAACATATTGATCAAGCACACCTGGTCATCAAAAATGATAGCATTCTGGCCCTTACGCCAATAGTTGCATAGCTTGTTAAGAGCATCAAGATTAGCATCCAGTCCAGGTGAAACTCCAGCTGGTAGTTGAGACAATTTTAGGCATGCAACTTCTCTTCTTTCCTGTGCAAGTTCTTAGTTGGTTACAGCCAAGCCATTTAAAAAACAGGGGAAGTAAACGCCTGACAAACTTCTATTTTATACCTGTTATGTTAACAATTCAAAAATAATAGTGCAGGTAAATGCAACCCAAGCCAAATCTTACCAAACAAAAATTTCTAAATAACTCATATGGCTCATAGTGGGCCAACATAATGATGGCTCAAATACACATATTATGGATAACATCAAAATCTAATCACAGCAGCTTTTTACAGGTTCAAATAACAAAAAATACCCAGGACTTATGAAGCAATGAAGCAAGTATATTGTACTCAAGGGGACACCACAATGGTTATTATTTGGGACCTTCATCAAGGACGCAACTCACAAGTTCAAAACTTGGGTTGCCTGCAATGGGTTTATAAGGTGGGAGCGGGCTACCTCACTTGTGTTGCCCTAGACTCAAAGGGCCTCTCTAGGTACCCAAGAAATTAAAAACACGTTATGTGAATCCTAGGTTGTTTGTTCACTAGTTCAAGCATGCAAATAGTTACTAAACAGGTTATATTGAATTTTCCAGGACAGACAAGCATTTTAACTATAATAAAATAACAACTTATTAACTAAAAGCAAATCTTATTAAAATATTTCATATTTTTCGTAAGGCACCTTATCAAATTTAGAAGCTGTCTTTGCCTTCTTACGACGTATTTCATAATCTCGTATAAGGCTCTGACCTTCTGGACAACTGAAGAAGGAAGCATTCTCCAACTCCCATGAAGCATGCTCATAACCAAGACCACGCCATTTCACAAGCCATTCAACATGACAATTTAGCTTTTCACCATCATGCCCTTTAAGATAAGACCCATGACACTCCTCAGGAGTCACCAAAAATCTTTTCTGTAGCACACGATGTGGCACTGCCCACTGTTGCTTCCAAACAGCACCCTGAACAACATAGGATATCTGAATTACTAAATGTGTTCCAAGCAACATTCTATTTAATGATCCCCTACAGAAGGAATATGACAGGTTTAAAATAACAGTATTCAATAGCTGTGAACCTGGGTTCTTCGGTTATATTTAGCAACTAGTGATGGAGCTTCAAGCAGTGCCAGATTCTCTGGTACCCAACGGTTATGAACATGAGCAAGACCTTTGTATTTCACAAAATATTGCTTCTGTCTTTGCAAACCTATAACCCAACACCAAATGCAAGGAAATTATTATCAGCAATTATAGAAGAAAATAAACTAATTGTAGCATTGCTAAAAACTTCAGCAAAACAATTCACCAGAGCTGTCAGCAAACAACTATGGCACAATTTATAGAAATACATTATAAAATAGAAACAAATCTATGGAGATAAGCAAATTATTAATTGAGCCCATACCATCCTCTGAAGCCTCCACTTCTCTAGAATCCAAAATTGCTTCTATTCCCTCTGAAACTGAATGCACCCCTGATTCTAATTTTTTACTCACACATACTGGACAATGCCAAACTCCAACAGGAACCTCCTCAAGGGGATGTTCTAGACACGAAAGATGGTAGCTTCTATGGCACCCTTTTCCCTCACAGCATCTAAAATAGAATGGCAGAGTGTAAGATAACAAAATACATGCTAAATTTACTCATAAAGCAGTGATCCAACATTATTACAAATTGTGAGCACTCTCAAAAGCATTGAATTTAATGCAAAGAAATAAAGCAGTATGCATGACTTACTGCAGACATGTCAAAGCCCTAAATTGTCCAATATCTCTTTTCTCATTGACAGAAATTCCTTTTAAACATAAAGTCAGTCACTAAAAAAAAATTAACATTATGGAATTCTCTGTAGCAGGGATGGACATGAAGATGCATCAAAAAGGGTAACCACAAAGATTTATAAGCATAGTCAAACCAACAATTTTACAAATCAAAGCATCTAATACAGAACAACACCACCCAGTATGCCAATAGATAACTCATTAACTCCACAAATTCAACTATCAACTATACAAACTTGCAATATTGATAAACCAATGAAAAAGGGTACCCACAAGAGCTTTCCAACGAGGTTGCATACGATGCAAGTATTTTGATCAGGGTCGGTTCGAAGATCCGTGACAGACATATGTTTTTGGATATCATTGCAGCACTTTTCAACATGTCCCGTGCTAACACCAGCATCAAGTTTCCATCTATCCTAATGCAATGCAGCAAGAAAATGGAAACAGTAATGACAAGGTCAGTGACATATTAAAGATTGGCATTTAATATTAGATAAGAACAGAGAAACATAAGCAATAAAAATAATGAACCCTTAGTAGAAAACTAAATTCCTTATTCTTTACACACAAAGACAGAAAGAAAAGGCAGGAGAGAGAGGGAGAAAAGCAGAATATATCCAAAAGATCAGGCCACAAAATTTAACACCAGAGCTTTCTAAACTGATCAAATATTAAGAAAGTTAATAATCAGCCACAACAGGTCTCTTTGACTTCAATTATTTGACATCCAACTTTACCTCAAGGAAAGATAAATCAAAGGCAATGCCACAGAAGACAAACTCAGACAACCAAAACCTATACCACTTGAATTCATCAACCTGATTCTTGTAATTTTCTCTCTTTTCAGCTTAGCTTAGCTAACTTTGTCTGGATCACAATAAATCAACATAAAAGATAAGTTAAAAAAGATTGAACTATCAAACAATGTCCTTCAAAAACCTGCTCAAGTACCATCTCCAATTAAGACATGTTCAGAAGAAATGGTTTCAGCAAAGAAAGGCAAGGCAATTTCTATTAAGACAACCAACACAACACTTGTTTCCATTATATTCTCCCTCTGCTTTATAGTTAGTACTCGCTATCTAGAGAAGTACAATGCTAAGTCATGCTTGGTTTCCAAGGCATAAAACCAGGCCAACATCCTTTAGCCATAGCATAAAAACTTATATATGTAAGAGAATAGGAGTTTCTAGAAAAGACATGTGAAACAGGATATACAAAGAACCAGAGGAGAAGAAAACAACCTTAATATCAGAGGATTGAAACAACTGATTTAACTTTGTGTTAGAAGAGCAAACCTCCTGCTTTGTCAAATCGCAGTCAACCCTGCAAAATATGAAGATATTTTTTTCTTTTAAAGAAAAGAAATATACTTTATCTTTTTTGAAATTAAAGAAAGATCAAATCATCCTAATAAGATTTTATGGTCAAATACTCAGCTTATAAAGGCATTTGAAAAGTACCGTAAAGACAATCTAAAATTGCTTATAACCAGGGCCATTTCCATAGTTTTAAAATTAGGAATACCATTTATACTATATGCATCAATTTCATTAACATCATGCAGAAGATGCAGAGATAATTATGGGCGTAGACTCAAGCCTGGTTACTCTTCATTCTTCAATGGATTTGGACCATGTTCATTCAAAACATTAAACTTTCCATGCCTAAACCTGGCCCATCAACAACTCTTCTTAATAGGTATTACCATTTGATCTTGTTTGGATCTAATTTGGTTGTAGCATTACTATGAATTCTTTTAATTGTCAATAATAATTATGCCATTCACAGAGACATTTTTAATTTGTAAACATAAGTAAATGAAACTTTGATAGACAACCAGAAACTTGTCCAGCTCGATCAAGCCCTACAACTTCTACTTTTCCATTTAACAAACCCCAACACATCCCCAACCAATTAGAACCAAAATTCATCAAGCAGCCAAGCACTATTATTCATAGGATGTCTACATGCAACAATCACGAACACCAACAGCCCCTGACTTGAGTATTTAACATGCATCATGTTTCAACCCCAAAATATCCCCCTACTCTTACACAATTAAACCCTAGAAACCCATGCAGTTCCTTCCCCTCTTCCTTAGAAATAAGCCTCTCAATAATAACAAACTCTAGTTTATAAGCTCTCCAAAATGTAAAGCAAGTCATCCTTTTAAAACTTAATCTCAAATTTCACCGAATTTAACACATATTCTACCTCAAGGACCTCAACCAACAGTGTATTAACAAAACTAGCATTCTCATTCAACTAGCAGAAAAATCTAAGGAGGTAGGACTCCTCTAGGGAAAATTAAAAGATAAAAGTTAAGGGACCACAGAAAAAAAATCACAATACCACCATGTATACTTATCATCTATGCAGACCTTAACTGTCAAACTTTACAATGATTATATGCTTCAAGAAAAGAAAAAGAAACTCATAGCAACCTATGGACGGTTTAGGTGTAGCGGAGCACAAGTATGCTACTACTAGTATAGACCAATTGGTATCATTATAGGTGGTCCATGATGCATTTCTTCTAAAGGCATTTTATCAAAGTTACAATTATAATGATTTAGGACATACTCCAATCTTGCAGCCATCGCATAAATTAGATAAGAGATTGAACAAATCTTCTAGCAACTCACAAAATAGATGCTCAAAGCACTTAGTGATGTTTATAACTTATGATTTTTGTACAATGACATTACCAACCAATGCAAAGCTGTAGCTACATACACCATAACCAATACCAAAAGCATGTTGAAAGTCAAAAGAATTTTCATATAAACATTACTTAAATAATACACGCTTTTTATATCATATTCCAATTGAGCTAGAAACTATACCAAAATCCTAAACTCTTGCATACAACAATAGCAAGAAAATTATCATTAGTGATTTAAGTTTGATGAACTTGCTGAAACATACTATAAAACCTGTTGACATACCATCCAAATAAGAATAACTAAATTAATTGGTCGAAATCTAGTACCTTTGCCTTTTAGAACATGTGCCACAAGTCTCACTGCAATCTTTTCGTTTGCAACCAGATATTAGTAAAGTTTCAGCACCAGCCATGGAGGTGCAGATATTTTTACTTGACGTTATAGGAGAAGCAACAGAATCAGTGTCCATATCATGTCTTTTCCTCTCGGAAGACATGACTTCCTGAACCATCTCCAAACTGATATTACAATCCAGGATCCTTTCATGCAGCATGGAATTTACCAACTCTGGATCCTGCACAGCCTTTTCAGCATCATCATTCATTTTTCCGGCTACCGAACCACTCTTAGAAACTTTTGAACCATCCCCATTTGAAGACATATCCTTGCAACTATCCTTTTGGCTTGTGGGAAACAATGTAAGGTCATTCTTATTTTCAGGTGCTTCCTCCGCAGATTGACTTGTACCTCTCGCCATGGTTATTTCACAAGTTCTCTCAGCATGTACTTTTAAAAGATCCTCATCCCTCCTTTCACTGTCAGTTCTGTTCAGATCATCACCATGATCTACAACACAAGCAGAAAAGTCTGAGAATGATACTTTTGATCAAATAGAAACCTGCTGAAAAGGTATAAAACAAAAGTCCTTATCAAAATAAATTTGTCCAACCAACAGAAGGAAAAGTTTATATACAAAGGAAATAAGCAAATCATTAGTAGCAATGCATAGCCCATCTATATTATTCCCCTGACCAATTATACTATAAAGAATGAGAAATGAGCGCAAAGAAGGTAGTTACCTGTTGCATTAGCACTCTTCAGTTGTTTCCTGAACATTGCTCTATAGGCACGAGCATCCATTCTCTTCTTTTGTGCCTCATCAACCTGCCCATCTTCATTCTCAATTTTGTTAACTTCTACAGTTTCCATTGTCAACTGTTTCACACTCTTCTCTTTTTTCTCTTTCTTCCTTTTTGCATCTAATGAATCCAGGCTTTTATCAGACTTCTTTAATCCCGAAGAACCAGATGAGGAGGGCATCTTACCCCTCTCAGATCTCCTCAAAGGACACCGATGCTTCTGCTTCTCAATTCGCTCAGATTTCCTCTTAGATGGAGGAGTCATTGTATTTGAATTCGACGTCTGCTTCTCAAGACGCTCTGACTTCCGAGTACCAGAAGAACTCGATGGAGTCATGCTTTTCTTAGACAGCGTTTCCCGAAGCGACCTTCTAAAACCAGATACTTCCGCCGTAGCAGCACCTGAATTCACTGATTTTTTACCACTAGTTTGACCTCCTTTTGAATTATTATCTTCACCATCGTTAGCTTTCCTACTAGACCTAGTACCATTCACCATGCCTTCAACGCAAACAAAAATAATTTTAAAATGGCAATGTCTAGAGAACAAATCACAGATTTGCATTGAATTTGCATCTATAAACAAACCATATTTGTAGACAAAATAGACTTGAGAGTTAAAATTCATGCCATAAACTATGATTCAAGAAAATCTGAATAAATTCACATGAACATGAAAGCAACCACATATAAACAATACCAATAACATCACAATCTAAGCAATACCACAGATCTGAACCCTTAAAACCCTAACTGAAGCCATCAATAACATCAATAAACAAAATTACCATTGAGTACACACAAATTCAGTTATCCCAACATAATCACATGCAGCTCAAACTAAACCCTGGCTAATGACAAACAGTTAGTTAGAAGGAAACTTACGAGGTATTTGTAAATTTTGGAACGTGGTGTTTTTTTCATTTAAGTTTTCGATTGTAACACCAGCATCACTAGATGGTAGAAGGTGAAGTTGCCATCTTTATTAATATGGAGACGAAATGCCCTAGGTTCTATAATAGATAAGGACTGTTTTAGCCTCAGCAAAGTTGAAATGACTTTATTGACCTTGACGAGATTTGTGTTCTGCAGTGCTGTTCCTTTGGTGCAAATGTGGAAAATGGATTTGGGATTTCCCTACTTGCTTCCATAGTCTATTCAAGACATTTTTTCCTTTTAAGATTTCTTTTATTATTTTGTATTTTAATAAAGGAGTTTGTAAAAAACATTACGTATTGACTATGACATAAAAAAAGTTATAATTCAATTTTTATATGAAATCATTGTGTTTAAGCATGGCCTTTTGAACGATATACTCATTATGAAATTACTTTCTAATATTTGTTAACATGATAACAGTATAATATAACTTTTTTTCCTTTTACGAAATCATGTGTTTGAATATGACTTTTTTAACTGTTTACTCATTATGAATTTCCTTTCCAATACTTGTTTTTATGATAAAATATCTTAGAAAATAACGTAAAATATAAATAGTTACAAAATTAACAATACGTTGGAATATAAATTTTTAACCATCAGTTTTGGCACTCTTTTTAACAAAATACTATCTTTTTTCTTTACTTAGAAATTTGACCCATCTTAAGTCTAGAAATAAATTATTTAATAGGCTATACTGAAATTCATGGAAAACTAAATGTTATGATTATAAATAATAACTAGTGATTTCTCCCACACCACGCTGCAGGAATGTAACTTTCAAAAGAAAACACATAATAATTAGTCAAATTTTTATATTTAGCAATTTCTGTTAAATTATTCTAAATTATAATTTTCTTAAGAAAAATCAAGAAAAGAAAAAGGAAAATAAAGAAGGAAAAATGAACTATGAGGACAAAAATCACTTTTTCCATTTTATTTCTTTTTATAGCCTCTTTCATATATATTTTAAATTCACCAATTTGCATACCATACAATGCAAAGTGAACTCTCAATTTTTGCACATTGAGAGTGAAACAGCAAGCACAAAAATCACAATGCAAAACTCACATTTCCCAAGGTGGCACAGTTATTTCAATTTTCAAACATCCCTAAGTAGACCCAAGGAGAAACCATACAATGCAAACCGATATCTCTTCTTCGCAGAACCATCCATAGAGATCAAACCTTAAGCCGAATTGAATAAAACCAAGAACAAACCATAACCCTAAAGTTTTGGAAGATACAACAGCGTGTCTCAACTGGAACAACACAAACCATAACTAAAATCACTGCAGCAATTAAAACCCAAGGTTTTTTTTTCCAGGCAACTGAGAACATATGAACTTAAGAATTTAAAAAAATTAAAGTTGAAGGAAAGAAATCAGTGGAGTTGGTAAGATCGAGTTGAGAACAAAGCAGGAATTGCACGGAAACTAAGCAGAATGAAGAGGTTAAAAAGATCCATTGAGGGCTTACCTTTAGACAACTTGTTAAACCAATTGCAGATAACTGGAGTACCGCTCACTTGTTGGTTGGAGTTGGATTGTCCCCAGCCTCGATTCTTTCTGTCTCCCTCTCTATTTTTATTTCTTCATTTATATAAATATATGATCTGTGTATTTATTTAGAGTGCTCTCTCTCTCTCTCTCTCTCTCTCTCTCTTCCCTTTTCCCTCCAGATCTCCTCACACTCCTATTCCGTCGCCGGTACCGGTGTCGCCGCTCCTGCCTCCGCCCTTCTTTCCTCTCTCAACCCTAACCCCTTTCTATTCGCTCCGTTCCAGTGTCCTCTCTCCCTTCTTTCTCCTGCATTCCCTTATTTTATATATATATATATATATATATATATATATATATATATATATGAACTTCGTGTAAAATGTCCATAATAGCCTCAGAAACTTAAAAGGGTTCGTCCGTACGCCATTGGTCACGTGTTGCCCAAGTTAAGTCTAAAATTAAGTAAAATAAATCCGACCCATATAAATTTATCCAACCGAATTGAGTTGGATCCATTTGATTAGGTTAATTTAATTAATATTTTAATCGAATTTATAAAAAATAAATTCAAATAATATATTTTTAAATTATTTTATTAATACTAATAATAATTTTACTAATAAATTGTATTTTGTATCAATGCTTGTTAAATATTTGTTTTTTGTTTAAATTTATTTTTAAAAATTTGATTTGTATTATATGTGTTGTTTAGATGTTAGATATTATTTATATTGTATTGGATATTATTTATATGTTAGATGTTATATGTAAATTATATATACTATATGTTTTAATTTTATAAATTATAAAATAATAAGAAAATTTCAATTTTAAAAAATAAAAGATCAAACATATAGAACGTATTTGACATTTTATTTCTTCAAATATCTCTTAAATTTATCAATTGGTTTGTTCGGATTTAAAATGATTTCGATTTGCTCGATTTTCGATCTTTTTAAATTGAACCGATTGAATGTTTATTCAATCTTAATTAATTTTAAAATCAATTATCAAGCAAATTAATCTTGAAATTCAAGAATCAATAAATTATAAATAATATATATAAAATGTTATTAAATTACTAAATTATATAAAAAAAATTGTAACTTATCAAATTTAAACAATAGGTCAAATCTTTATATTTAAAAGTTAAAATTTAAAAATATCTAAAATTATGCACCTTTATCAAAATAATAAATAAAAAATAAAACTTTTATTAATTAAAAAAATTAAGGTTTTGAATAAAATTTTTACATTATTAAAGAGAAAATATCACATAATCATATTAAGATATTACATTTGTTTGTATTGTACTTTGTAAGTTGGTTAGTATTATATGTTATGTTTAAATATCAAATGTTTTTTATATTGTGTTGGATGTTATTTATATGTTAGATGTCATATGGAAATTATATATGATTTATATGTTTTTATTTTATAAAATTCTAAAATTTGTATGAAAAGTTCGATTTGGAGAAAGAACTAACCAAACATATCGAACTTGTTTGGCTTTTTAGTTTTTCGTATATCTCCTATTAAAATAAACGATTTATTCAATTTTTGATTTTTTCAAATTAAACCGATTGAATGTTTTTACAATTTTAATTAACTTTTAAAGTTCAACCATCAAACAGATAAATTTTGAAACTCAATAATCATAAATAAATAGATTTTAAATAAATAATAGTGTGTGTATATATATATATATAGAAATGTATTATATTACTAGATAAGAAATGTTGATGTATAGGCTCATGGGTAACTTATCTTCGTGACACATAAAAAACTATAATTTATCAAAGTTAAATGAAAGATCAAATCTTTATATTTAAAATTTAAAACTATCTAAAATTATGCAACTTATCAAAATAAAAACAGACTAAAATATTAATTTAAAGGTGAAATGGTGAACTTTCAAGGGAAATTAACTGCAGATTGGTGGTGGACTATCTGATGCAATGCAGCTAAGTTTGACGTTTGCTTAAAGAAAAACCACAAATGGATGGACTGCTTTTGGTGTTGGGAAAGTTCATGATTAATAAATAACAAGAAGAAAAGACCCAAAATTTGTTACTGTATTATCGTTAATTAATTCCCAGTTGGCCACTAGTCCTTAGGCCGGCAGTTGATGGTGATTAAGTTTGATTTTGACAAGACCCCATGTAATAAACTAAGGTAACCATTCATGGATCAGCATTGTTTTGTTTCAACTGGAAGCTAATAGCCTAGGATTTGAATATTGGAATATGCTAGGTTGGGGTTATGCCACTCGTAAAACTAAAGAATTTAAGTAGGAGGAATTGATTCCTGCAAGAATTTTTCCTTGTTCCATTCATCTGATTCTCCCTTTCCTAGTGGGGGCATCCTCGTATGGATTCTCTGATGATATGTCTTTCTGTGCTGCTTTGAACACTTGACAGTTGACAGAAATGTACCATTCTTATTCTCAGGTAGAATGATTTATCTCTTGTTTCTCATCTGGATCGTCGCCAATTCAAGCCTTGCTCGACAATATTATGACTCGTCTCTATGTTCAGAGGATACCAGTAATCCAGGTTCAAGGTACACCTGCAATTCAATCCAACAGTCATGCAAAACATTCTTAGTCTACAGAGCCAACCAACATTTCCAGGTTCAAAACCTGCTGAATATCTCTGCCTTGTTTCAGATGAAATCTGATCGTTTGCTTGACTTGAACAATATAGCTTCGGCTTCGCAAGTTCTCAAACCAGGTACGGAAGTTCTTGTTCCTATAAATTGTCTGTGCTCTGGGGAATACTTTCAGGCAAGTTTAAGCTACATAGTCCCTGAGAGGACATCAATTGAGGAAATTGCTTGCGGAGTTTTTGAAGGCCTATTGAAATCCTTAACCCTGCTCCAGGATAATCCGTCTCAAGATAATGATGTCGATATAGGTGTTAGGCTCCATGTTCCACTGAGATGTGCCTGTCCTGATAATGTTACTAGTGCTAATGGAGTGAGATATCTTGTGACATATGCTATCCTGGAAGGAGATGCTGCAACCGCACTAAGTGAGAAATTTGGAATCTCTCCTGAAGATATATTGGCAGCTAATCATTTGGAACCTGAGTCGACTATTTTTCCTGGCACAACAGTTTTAGTCCCTCTCAAATCAGATCCCGTCATAAATCTCAATACCCCAGATTCTCCACCTCCAACTCCTGGTTTTCTTCCCACCATCACTGTTGAAAAAACAAAGAATACGAAATTGAGGAACTTGTATATTGCAGGATCAGTTGTTGGGTTTTTCCTGGTAGTTGTGGCATTGCTTGCTTGTGGATTGTATGTGAAGGTCTTAAAGAAATGGAAGGGAGAGAAACTACCGTCTTTTGCTGATAGAAACTCTATACCTTCATTTTCAACAGCTAGAAGCTCTCCTCGATCTGGCCAAACTGGTAGAAGCTCTCCTCGATCTGGTCAAAATGGTAGAAGCTCCACAAATTCATGTTTATCTCCTGATCTTCTAGCTGGGATTAAGTTTTCCATGTACAACTATGGCATAGAGGATATAAGAAGAGCAACAAAGGACTTCGATGAAGATAGCAAGATTGGAGAGCAAGTCTATAAGGGGTTGATTGACAATGCTGATGTCATGATCAAGCAGATGAAATTTGAAGACACCCGCCAGGTTATAGACATGCATTCTAAGATCAATCACGTTAACATTGTAAATCTCCGTGGTGTTTGTTACAGTGAAAATGACTTTTCCTGGTCATATCTGGTTTTCGAACTCCCTAGCAATGGCTGCTTGAGGGACTGCTTATGTAATCAATCCAACAGTCTCAGTTGGAGTCAAAGGACTCAAATAGCTTTCGATGTTGCAACAGGTCTTCACTATTTACACTACTGTATCTTCCCTTCCTATGCTCACATGAGTGTAAATTGCAGAAATATTTTCCTGACATCAAATTGGAGGGCGAAGCTAGCAAATATTGGACCATCAACTCTTACTGTCAGCTCATCAAGAAGGAATGACAACATCGATACTGTCAATGGATGGGTTGCTCCAGAATTCCCCGTGCATGGATCAGCTTCAGAAAAGGTGGATATCTTTGCATTTGGAGTTGTTTTGCTTGAGCTCATATCAGGAAGGGAGGCCACAGATGGAAATCTGTTCAAAGAATCAATTGGATTTTTGGGAGGGGGTGCAAGTGAAGGAGGTTGTTTCGAACAACTGAGGAGTTTCATTGATCCTTCTCTGAAAGACGATTATCTCCTAGCTGAGGCTTTATGTTTGGCAGTTTTAGCCAAGGCTTGCATAGAGGATGACCCTCTCCGTAGGCCATCAATGGATGACATCCTCAAAGTTCTTGGAAGAATGGTATAACGGTAAGAAAATGAACAAACCAGGAGTTTGATTTTGATTATTAATCTTCTCCATCAACTTATTCCCCTCTTTGTAATACCATATAAACAATTAGCATATGATAATCCTGAAATTCCTCAGCATCTTTCTTGTTTTACTGATTACTTTTGTCAGACATTGGGGTTCGGTTGATTGCTATCCAAGGATGAGAACAAGGCTTCCACATTATTTAAAGATGAACAACAGATAATCCAGTTTAATTTATTGTCTTGATATGCAGGAGAATAAGATGTTGCATTTAGTCATTGGATTCCATTTGAGTTCTTTGACAGAATAAGCCAAAAAGATTTGTTGTCAGCTCATTGTATACTAATTGTTGCTTTTGTGGTTCTAACGATCTATGTTACTCTCTAGTCCCTACTTCATGTATGGTTCTTGAGATACAGATATCGAATTCATATTTAAATAGAAAAAAAAATTAAAAAAGATTAGAATGTACTCAATTATTAACAGATAGGGTACTTCTTATTTTTTAGATACTTTAACTTGAGCCCTATTATTTGAGAAGGTACTCAAACCTTATAAATATCTTGTTAAATTTTTGAATTGTTACCCGAATTTCCTAGACACCACTTGTGCCTAATAAATACTCGATTAAAATAAATTTAAATCAATTTTTATGTGTATTCTTGATGAAAATTAAATTAATAAATAAAAATCAATTCATAAAAATAAATTAAAATTTAAAATCATATTTAGAATAATTAATAAATTTTAATAAGTATTATATTAATTATAAAAAATAATATATACAAAACTAAAATTTTATATTAAAAATTATTATTTATAGTAAATATTTTATAATTATTACGCAAATTTGATTATGAAATATCTTAATTTTACTCATTCATGTTAAATAATACAAAGTAACAATTAACATCCTTATGTCCCATGCTTATGTTAGACATTCTAATTTCTTAAAGGCCCCTTAGTATTCTAGATTCCTTGTATTCTTGAATCATACCCACACATTGAAAAAGACCTTTCTTATATAAAGGGTTCACTCTCCTTAGCACAATATTGAGACAAATAACAATTCATACAAGCATTCACTCATTTTGTCATTCATTTTCTGTTGTGTTTGTTTAAATGATTCTCAAATGTTTTGTGGATAGAGTTTTTGTTAATTTTGAGTACTTGATCTTGATTTCTATAAATAATTAAGATATTTAGATCTTATAATTATTTGAAAATTTTTAAAATTGTTTTATCCGAATCCAAATTTTCGTTCTTTATTCATTACTGTTAATTAATTAAACCTATTTAAACACTCGATTGTGTAAAAAATATTCATTAATCTCTTCAAGTATAGTTAACTGTATAAGATAATAATTATAATTTATATTAATTCATACAATTCATTAATAATTAAATTTACAATATTAAATAAACATTAAAATTAAAATATAAATAAAAAATTAGAGTAACGATGACAGTAAACGGCAATAGCAACAATAGCACGAAATCACCCTTATAGTCTAGCAAAGAGCTTAACACTATAATAACTTGATATGTCTTTTAATAAGCCACTTATGTACTTTCTTTTGATGAATTGCTTTCATGATGTATTTTTGGTTGGTATAGATGAAAAGGCAAAAAATTCTTTTTGCTAATAATGAAAACTTATTGATAATTTTTTTAAAAAAATATAACCAAAAAAATATTTTAAAAATAACTCAAATAATAATTTAAATAATTATAAATAAATAAATATTCATAATAATTGCTTTGCTAATGGGTTTTGGTTATTAAGAATGGAGTTTTGCTCAATTTTAAATTGTTATTGATTAATCTCAAGAACTAGTTAGGTTGGAGTGACCCAGTAAAAAAGCTTAGAAATTTGCTTCTTGTTTGTTGAACTTTGTGAAGTTTTCTTTAATGCTTAAATTGGATCTTTATTCTGATGGAAATTAGTGTTATTTGATGCCAAATCAGTGAATGCGTATGCTTATGCTTATGTGTGTCGAAAAGTTGACTTATATAGTATGTTTCTTTACTTGGTTACACTCATTTTTATTGGTTTGAAGTCTTGTGGGGTGTATGATGGAAGCTCAGTAACAGCTTGGGCTATTCAGTTCATTACCAGAATCCATGGTTTTATCTTTGTGTGCCCTTTTACTTCATCAATATGGTGTGGATGGAGCTCTGAGAAGTTTCTCCTTGCTTGTTGTCAAAATAGAGCTTTGTTTTTGTTTATTCGGAGCTTTGGAAACCATTAGGCATGGGGCACTGTATGATGCATTGGTGATGTCTTTTATATTTAGACTTGTTGCTACTGCCCGCTATTGAATCTATTGCTTGTTTCTGTGTCGTTAACTTTCTTGTAATTTTTCTTCTCGAAAGGATACATCAGGAATTTTCAGGTTTATGATTAATAAAGAGTGGGGAGGATAACAGTTGAACTGCAAGGGAGGGTAAATGATTGCAGGGCACTCACTTACAGGCAGGACATCAGAGAGAAGGATATTGAAAAGTACACAACACTTAAAAATATTAGTTCATCGCTGCCAACTGAGTGGTGCTTGGTAAACTGCAGCCACAAAAAGCCTAGAACAATGTGTTCCTACTGAAATGTTTCTACTTACCCAAGACCATCCTCGGTGACTCCAATGTTGTAATTAGGTTTTTTAAGTGATGATAACAATGTTGGCCTGAACACTTAATTAACAATTTTAAAACTTAGAGCGTCTACATCACTGTTTTCCTTTGAAATCTGACTTACATAATAAAATTTGAGCAGAATATGAGTATTCATTGATTGAAGAGTCAAAGATGGAGCAACCATTGAAACTGAAACTGATAACTTTTGAGGCTGAGAAGAAGTATAAACAATTTATGACTTGAAGAATTTAGTGAATACGCCTATAGATTGTGATCCCATCACTAGTGCAAGTGAAATTTGGATACGAGAATCAGCTGCAAGCAATTTGTGCACTCTTCAGACAATGCAACTGTTCCTCCCACAGTGTGTTATCATATACAACTATCCCACCTACCTTCACCAATTTCATCAATCTTTCATGCTAGTTCCAGTAATTGATCTTGTCAGCATCAATGAAAGCAAAGTCAAAGCCGTTTTCATTTCCCACAACAAGAATTACCCCCAAAAAATAAAAGTGAAACATTAGGATAAAAACCATGAGTGGGATGACAAACGCAAGATGCTAAGCAAGGAAATGTGGGGACACTTCCATGTTATTTTACACAGGTCCATCTACAGACTGTTTACTTATGGGTTAAGGTATTAGTCTTGATGGAATAGATGGATTGTTTACCTTGCCATCCTCAGGAAGTGTAAGAGCAGTAAGGAGAAGAGAGTATCCAGTGAAAACTCCAACTTCAACTGTCTTTTTGGCATTCATTTAGCGTCAAGAGCAAGGCAATTAGCTGTCCTGCATCAGGTGCAGTTTAGGCATGCTTGAACCTCTTACACTTGCAAAGCACATCCAAGATCATATACTGACGGTATGCCTAACAACATGGTTCCCACCCTCCGCCAAGCGGCGCCAGTAGGCCTTCGCCTCATCCAACTTATTCTTCTTGCACCAGCACTTGAGCATGATGGAGTGGGTGATGTCATTCTCCAAACCCCGCATGGAAATCTGCTTAGCAATCATGTCAACGACGTCAAAACAACTCTCCTCTACAAGAGCATTCAAAAGCACGTGGTAGGCGAAGGCATCCAAGTCAAGACCCTGGAACCGCATTCTGCTGAGCTGCTGGAGTGCCATCTCTGGTTTCCCCGCAATGGCATAGCCCATGACCAACGTGTCGTGGTATCTGACCTTGTGAATGTACCTATGCGCCATATAATCCTGCAAGAACTGTTCAAGCGTCACAGACCTCAGCTTCGCTTTCGAAAGAATCTTGAAGATGGCATGGAAGGTGGCTCGGGTGTGGTGGAACCCAGGCTGGCGGCCTGCCCAGTCGAAGAACTTGAGGCAGGAGAGAACGTCGCCTTGCAAGGAGGAGCGGCCGTAGGAGAGGACCTGGAGGACAAAGGTCTCGGAGAGACGGAGGTTAAGGTGGGAGAGAGCAAGGTAAGCGGCACGCCTGGAGGATGCATCGTCCAAGGCGGCTTGGCCATGGGAGTTTAGGATAGTGAAGATGCGGTCGAGGAGAGATGTGTTATTCCGGGCCTTGAGCCAGTCCTTGAAGGATGCTACCACGTCCTTGGCGCTTAGGTTGGGAGGATGGGCTGATGAGGAGTTGTTGGGAGAGGGAGATGGGGAAAGGATTAAACTATAGTATGAGTAAGAATCACGATTTCGATTCTTCTGCAGGAGAATTCGACTAGATTTTGCTGCTTGTTTGATTCCATTTAAAACCATTATCTTTTCTTATTGAAAAATTGAAGTATATAGCTTCTCGAATCAAGTCGGAGTTGCTAGGTATAAAGCACTACTCATTCTTTTAAAGCTTAGAGTTTCAAGTAGAATATAATTAGGACTTAAATAAGAAGTTTAAAATTATATAACTACTTAAAATTGTAATATATAATATATTCGGCACATTATAATAAAGATTCTTGATACATTCACTATAATGATACAAACAAGAAAAAGTCATTCTCAAAGATTATATGTTTATAAAAAAAATTAATGAAAGTGTACATAAATAGCTATTTTTCTATTGATTGCCTAATTAAACTCAAATTCATCCCTAACTATTTGCATAATTCTTGCAAAAATGAACGAGCATGAAGCGATGATAGCAGGGGGCAAGATGATGACAACTAAAGGAGAATTAACTTAGGATATAGCCCACATATGCAAATGCACATGCAACAAAGCCATACGCACACAGTCCACACAGATAGACGTGCACAGGATAGCCTGCATGAAGGGATCCAATAGCTGCTAAAAAAAGTAGCAGTCAAGTAAAATATTCAAAGGTAATTAGAATACTTTTCATATTTAAGTTTTCATTACTTGTCGATTACTTTACTTGTACAATAAGTAAGTCTAGTTTTTAATATATTTATTTTTATATCATTTATTTTATTTATACTCCAAAGAAGTCGAAAACTAGAATACTGTTTTATTTAATTTACTTACTTACAAGTAGGTTTTAGATGGATTATCTCTATAAATAATCCATTTATGTTTCATTGTAACGCTGAACGAAGTTTTCTTGATTCCATTTTTCATTACGCAAAGTTTTTCTAATTCCATTCTTTTAAGGTATTTTATTTTTCATAATATTAAAGCAGGTTCATAACCTAGCCTTTTCTTTTTTTCAACCATGACGTTGATTTGGTTGTGGTAAAGTGATGTCTTTTCTCTTTGATTTATTTTTTATTAACAGCTTTAGCGTTGTACATGATTTATTATCTATTTATAATTTCTACGCAATACATGATTTGTTTTCCATCAACAGTTTTAGTGTCGTACATGATTTATCCTCCATCGACAGTTTTGATGTCGTATTTATTCTTCGTTAGCAGCTTCGGCACTATACGTGATTTATTTTTTATTGGTTGCTTCGATGTCGTACGTGATTTATTATACTGTCGGTTGACCACCAAACAATGATTCTAATATTTTTCAAAGATGGTTTGATAGCAAAACTCGATACTAATTTTAAGGATTTTCAATCTTAAATCTAAAGCAACGCAATGATAAAAGCATAACTCATTAACTCACTTTTTGAGGAGTTATAATTGGTGTTGCCCATGAAGACACTATGATCGAAATATGACTCAATTTAGAAGAGTGATTTACTCGGAGAATTGCATCCCGAATATATTGAAGCGATCCATTGCATTACTACAACGAAAGCATCCAGAGTTAGAAGTGTTCTTGAGATAGCCAACGAGAAATTAACTTAAATAAAACCATAAAACCACAAAGGCAAAAATCAGCCTTGAGGTGACATTACTTAAGGGCTCATTGACAAAAAGCATTGGGGCCACCATCGATTGAGGGTTTTTAAATGCCCCACACACTTACAGAGCTAAGCCACACTAGTAAAGGGCACCTAGACGAGCCTTGCAGCATGACATGAAACTATAATCTTAGCATGATAGCCCAATGTGTCAGGACCACGCATAACTAGTAAGAGTGTGAAAAGACTGCACACTGGAGTGTGGACGCATGAGCAAATAACGTGCATCGGCTGCACACACCAAGAGCTCACACCCAAGATGAAGGCGAGGACACAGCCCGCACGATAGCGGGCCACACACAACACAGCCCTAAAATAGGGGGAGCTGTGAGCAACGTAATCACGTATACTTGGAACACACACCTACGACACTCCTAGAAGGCACCGCACAAGAAAAAAAAAAGCACACAGGTTACGCACACACAGAAGTCTCGCATTAATGGGCCATGCACACTCAGCCTGCATCCGAGGAGGCCACGCACATAGCAAACGTGCCCAAAACAGCCTTACACAGGAGTGCCGCATACATTAGGACCTCAAATCTGTGAGCCGTGCACCAAAGGGTCTTGATTGTGAATCCCACACACCTAAAGGCTTTGTACAAGAAAGCCACACCCCAATAGTCAAATTGGTTTTAATGTGATGCCTTTTTATTGGTTATAATGTGATGTCTTCTTATTTTTGCTTTAGTGCAGAATTGGGAACTCTATAAGTTAGATGTCAACAATGTCTTTTTGTATGGTGATTTTGAAGAAGAATCCTACATGAAGATTCCTTAAGACTTTTCCAAACAAGGGGAGCATTGAGTTTGTCGTCTTTAGAACTCTTCATTTGATCATTCATTATTTACATTTACTCATCAAGGATCTTTTATTACAATACTTATTTTAGCAAAATGAGGTCTTACAAGTTGCAAACTGGCTTCCTCACCCATTAATCAACAACATAAACTTGATTTTTATTTAAGACAACTTTATAATGATCTCGAACAGTATAAGTGTCTCATTGGCAGATTATTTTATCTCATGATCATACGTATGAATATTAGTTATGCAGTGCATAGACAGAGTGCGGCAGCAACTTGCACCCGTCCAGACAATATAAGCGTATGAGACAAGCACATTTTGATGCCATCATATGAATTCTTTGATACCTTAAAATTTCACCAAGATAAGGTACTTAGTAGAGAGCAATTTCAAACTTTGTTGGGCAAGTTGGGCATTTTCAATCTTCATGTTCCAATTTGATAAGGAGTAAAGGAGAATTAACTTAAGATATGGGTCACACATACAAGAAAGCCATATGCACAGTCTACACAGACAAACATGCATGTGAAAGGGTCCAATAACTGTTAAAAAGAGTAACAGTCAAAGTAAAGTATTCTAAAGTAATTAAAATACTATTTAAGTTTGCATTATTTGTTGATTGCTTTACTTGCATAACAAGTAAACTTAGTTTTTAAAATATTTATTTTTATATCATTTACTTTTTACTTGCACTCTAAAGAAATTTAGAATTAAAATACTTTCTTATTTAATTTACTTACGTTATAAGTAAATTTAGAATGAACTATCTCTACAAATAGTCTTTTATATTTAATTGTAAAACTGAACAAAATTTCTCTGATTCCATTTTCCATTAAACAAAGTTTCCAAACTCCATTCTTTATTTCATCTACGGTATTCTTTCTATACTTTAATTCTCTTCATCATCTTTTGGCCTATAGAGTTGAAATGAGCGCTTGTTTATTGGTTGCAGTGGTCTTGCATTAGTATTTGAAGCTTGCGAAAAATTGATATCAGTTTCTCCACAAGTATAATTAATGAAGATTGAAATTGATTACGATACTGTTAACTTGATTTTCCATGGTAAAATTCGAGACTTACATCATGAACGGCCACACGAAGCAATCTCACTTGCTCCCTGGTCACAGTCCTCACCTGATCAAAGAGGGGCAGGAAGTGTTAGACAGGTTACATCATGAAGAAAAGAGCAGCAAGATTAATATTTGAGGAAGGTTATAGCAAACCTTTCTGACAATGCTCCACACCACATTTTCATCACAAGGAGGAACAGTAAGAGAGCCAATGTATCTGAAATACTTCCTACTGCCAATTTTTATGTGCTTTGGATCGATCACACTCGCCACTCTCTCTCCTTCTGTGATATCGGTAATGCTTGCTAAACGATCTAGCAACTGGCAACCAAACATGGCAGATTAGGTGAGAGATAGATTCCACTAACTAGCTAACAATCTTAATATACAATTAATCCTATCTGATCAGATTAACACAGGAATCAAAACTATATATGGATAGGGAAACTCTTATAGTTATCGATGAAAGGAAAGAATCTGGTCTACCAATCTTGTACATGATCCCTACTACAGCAACCTTGCCATCCGCACTTTCATGAACCAAGTGCACCTCCAAATCATACCTGAAAGGTTGAATTTTCCCATAAGTAAATTGTTCTTCCTCTTATGATAATTGTTGAAGGTTTATGATCAGGCAAGAAAAAAGAAAGATATATATTACCTTCTGCCATTGATGGTGTGCTCGGAAGGTGTGTGCCAATGGCACTGATGGAGTGCATACTCAGTACCATTGATCTCTATAGCTCCTGCATCACCGTCCCATCTCAACTGCATACACAAATTGATTCAAATTACGGAAAAGTTTTTGATAAAATATGGTACTGTATATGATCTTTAGTATGATATAAGAAAATAGGAAGGAATTTTCTTGATAAGAATATTATGCTGTTATCCCATAACATCTCACCTAATATAATTCTTTCAAGTCACATCTAACAATGATTAACTTGAAAACCATAGTCAGTAACAACCATTATAGCATGTAGGGCCATTGTCAGCTAAAATAAGATAAAAGAAATATTCAAGCTGGCTAGCTAAATGCATTAGCATGTATGCATTGGAAAGTAAAAGAAAAGGAAAAATGTCCATGAATTTCATATATCTGATACATATCTATTAATGATACTCTATCAGAGAAAGTACATGAGGAGAAAATGAGAAATGAAAGGGAGTTCTCGAAAAAATTTTATGAGAAAAAGTGAAAAGTATAAACATCACAATTACAAAGAGAATATTTATCCCTCATTTTTTTTTAAAAAAATTTCATTATCATCATATCATGGCCTCAATTTCTTAGAGTGGCATTGCATAGCTTGTAGCTTCTCTTAAGCCTCCCGAGATGGGAAAACTCTTTCATTCGACATATCAATAGGAGATTGCATTGATCCATTGCTACATGCTCTCCATTCTGGATGAATCTCTCCCCATCTTGCAGGCCCTCTTGCACTATTTTCATTATAATCAAACTCACTGTCATTCTCTGCAACAACAGCAACAACAAAATAAAAACTCTGGTGATCAAAAACGAATTCAAAATATGGGATTACTAAAACACCAAGATTTTGCCTTACCAACTTCTTGAGATGTTGCAGGGCATGAATATTGCAAGACAAGAACAATGGAGAAAATGCAAGCCAAGAGTTGAGTTGGTAGCTTTGCCATCTTAACTTGTTAATGTATAGCTAGTTGTATCTATCCCAAGAGACCTTTGCTGTTAAAGAAATGGAAAGGGGGAGGCAGCTTTAAATAGTTTTAATTCCTTTGAAAATGTTGAAAAAGACTTCCCCTGGGTGTCGATTATTTTCTTTCTAGAGCATGCCCTTTTGGAAGCAAGTATGAACAAAAGGAAAATCAACAACAAAGTCAATCGCCAACCATTCGTTAACCCTACAGGGTGGTCTTCTGCAGTATGTGCCTTTTTCTTCTTCTTGTCTTAGAAATATTTGCTTTATCGGATCGACGTGCAGGCTGACGACTGAATCCAAATTTAAATAGAGATTTTTCCATATTCATTCTCAGACCCTTCTAATTCAATTCCTGGAAGATGAAGGTGATTTAGCGCAGAAGAATACTCACCAAAGACAAAATCCATACCCCAGAAATGAAAAAAATTGGAAAATGCGTTGGAAAGAACTTGATCAGCAATCAATCTGATAAGTTTTTTCTATGGCACAGGTTTTCTGAGTGGTTGAATTATGGGTCAAAATAGGAAGTGGAGCAGCCAAGTTCAAGCACAAGTTGGTTTCAAGCTTCAACTGAATATGACTGGCACAAGAACCTAAGAACCCATTGATTGTGCTTGAATATTTACCAAAAAGTCATTACCTACTGTCATTATCGCATAAAATATCTCTTTCCTCTTCTCTTCCTTAACCTTCTAATATCCTACCGAGGCCGGGTTTGACCTTGATTTCCTTCGCTTATCTTTCTAATTAAGGGTGAGTAATTTTTATTTAAAATCGAATTAATTGAAAAAAAATTTGATTAAAACAGTTCGATTAATTCTCCAGTTAATTCAAAAAGTAAAACAATTAAATCAACTCTTTGATTAAAGAGTGGTGGGCCAAAAGCCGGGTCAAGGTTGGATGGTAAGTTGAGGAAGAAGCTTAATTTGGTCGTTATAATATATATCTAATTATATATTAAATATAATCGAAAACTTATTTTTGATCTATTGAGTTCATATTTACAGCATATTTAATTAATTTAATTAAAAAAATTTATTAATCAAATTAACCTTTTACACGTCTTTATTCTAATTTTAGAATCTAAAAATATTAGTTATAAACTAATTTAAACCATGAAGTACGATATATCTACCATTTTGTTCTATTACTTAAATATTTTAGGTTAATAATGACATTTATTATAATATAAAAATTACTATCATACCAGTTTGTAGATTATAATATATTATAATATTTTTCAATTGCTATTTATGAGGCTAGTTGAACCAAGTTGTTTTCAATACTGATGGCGTCCAAATACTTCTTGACTGCTATTAATTACTTAATTAATTAATTAAAGACCCTATGGTCAATGGTGTTACCATGATACATATTAGCTAATTTCATCTTAATTTGCCCCAATTTTCCAACAATCAGTATGAACCGGAGGAGAAGAAAGATTGCGTATCTGCTTGTTTCTTAGTCAAAATATGTACAATTATAAAAATCTTTTAATCATAGCCTCAAGAAAAGTCCCAAATTTCTCTATTTTTGAATCCCAAATTGAGATTGTTGCAAGATATTGAATAGCCATAAGCATTGTATCATGAAAGGGAGTGTTTCATTAAAATAAAAGACCCCATATTATCATTATTACCCAAGATTTTCACACGAGAGAATTTAATATATCGTTTAACATTTTATTTATCAAGAACATGTTTTGAACAGTAAACTCCATATGGATCTGAAAAAAAATATAACTTACTAAAACAATGATTTTTATATTTTTTTGATCATGGTTTGAATTTTTGAGATATTTTATTTTTTGTGTTTCTCTTCTCGTTGCAATACGTAAAATTTAAACACATCTTATCTCTTGTTTTATTAAAATATAAGATCCAATATAATCTTGTTGCTTAGGGCTTTCATGAGGGAGAATTTACTATATCATTTAATAGTTTATCTGTCAAGAACATATTTATAATGGTTTGAATTTTTAAGATATTTTATTTTTATATTTTTCTTCTTCCAATTAAATTCTCATACCTTCCAAAATAAATATTGTTAGCATATTCTACATGGATCGGAAAAAACAAATTTTATGAAAATAGTGATTTTTTACGATTTTTTTTGTTTTCTTCTTGCCATAATATGTAAAATTAAAATATTTTATCTCATTAAAACTTTTGAAAAATAAAAAAAGCATATTGTTCAACAAAAATTATAGGGTAAAAAATACCCTTACCTTCCAAAATGTTAATTGAAATAACGCGGAGATCTATTAATTTTTAAAATAAACACATCATTTCAAGAGTGTAAACACTATTAATAAAAATTATAAAAAATTAAAATGTTTTTTTTATTAATTTTAAAAATTATTATTATATTTTTTTAAAAAAATAAAAAACACAAATCGATTGCTCACCAAGAGAGGGGAGCACCGAGCGGTGCACCCAAGGGAGGGGAGCATTAGGAGCCCAGTCGAGGCTCCCTAAAAGAGCATCGGCCCCCCAAGGGGAGCACCTGTGCTCCCGGGCTCCCCAAGGGAGCTCCAATGATTCCCTGATGGGGAGTCTATTTTTTTTAATTAATAAGAAATAATAAAATTATATCATAGTAATAATAAAATTTAATTAAGGGTAAAATTATCTTTTTATTTTTATCATGTTAGCAAGTTGACATATATACTAACGATTGACTAACGGTTATACTTACGTGTTCAATAAAAAATATTTTTTTAAAACGGAATTTTCATTTTAAAAATTAATAGACTTTTATATAATTTCGATCAAAACTTACAAGAATAAAGGTATTTTACTCAAAATCATATGTTTGTCTCTGGTCAATAAGCTTATGCAAGCCTTGATGAATTTATATTAATATTGTTAAAGTGTTGAACTATTATGGTTATCTTTGCCAAAGGATGAGATCACAAACCTGTAAATCTTCCTTAGGGTTGGGCGTTTCCTTTCTTTTAATACAATTTCCTAGTCAAGATAACAACGTGAATGCTGATTTTATTTGAAAATGCATACATAAGAAAATGTTATGCATTGACCAAAGAAAGGGCTTGTGTTTCCATTATATTTGAGTCCGACGATTGCATCACGTTTGAAAAGAAAAACTGGGACTCCCCATAGTCACACATAGCACACGTTTCAAATATTGGAAGCTAAGATTGGAACATTAGCATACAAGCTTTCAAAGTTTCTATAGTTTTCTCCCAAGAAAGTGGCCAATATATTATTCCCAAATTGGAATCAGTTTGAAGATTCTAATGGTTTTGTTTGTCACGTTTTCTAAGGCTATAAAGAGTGAAATTCATGTTTTTCTTTTTAAATAGACAGGATTGATGTGTGTCGAAGAGTTGACTTATATAGTATATTTCTTCACTTGGTTTCACATTTTCCATTGGTTTGAAGGTTTAAGGGTTGTGTGATGTAAACTCAGTGACAGGTTGGGCTATTCAGTTCATTACCAGAATCCATGGTTTTATCTTTGTGTGCCCTTTGTACTTAATCATAATGAGAGAGTATGGAGCTCTGAGAGTTTTTCTCGCTTGCTGTGTCAAATAGAGCTTTGTTTTTGTTTATTCGGAGCTTTGGAAACCATTAGGCATGGGGCTCTGTATGATGCATTGGTGATGTCTTTTATATTTAGACTTGTTGCTACTACCCGCTGTTGAATCTATTGCTTGTTTCTGTGTCGTTAACTTCTTTGTAACTTTTCTTCTCGAAAGGATACATCAAGAATTTTCAGGTTTATGATCAATAAAGAGTGGGGAGGATAACAGTAGAACTGCAAGGCAGGGTAAATGATGGCAGGGCACTCACTTACATGCAGGACATCAAAGGGAAGGATATTGAAAAGTACACAACACTTAAACTTCCAACACATCAGGTTTGTTAAAAATCTTTGTATTTTGAGTGTTTCAATTATTGATTGCCAATTTTGTGTAGAAAGTGCTGGGTAGAGGAAATGCAAATGTACCAGCTATGTCTGTAGAATCCCTCATATCATGGGACGATGACCTTTTATAGTTTAATACTCACCTTGTCCTTTAATAAATTTATTTGCTGTGGGGGGTTATGTTGTGATTTCAACTCCAGATGGCATTTTGGATCATGAAGAAGCCATTAGTAGGAATGTGGGTGGACAGGGTTTTGGTTATTTTCGTTAGACTTGTCTGTCTTTCTGCCTTTTTGGATGGGAAAAAGAGAAGACTGGTTCTTTGAGATCTGATTTATCTGTGAACTTCGAACGACAAAAGCAAACTTCAAAGCAGATCCCAGAAAAGCCCGGGTCTTTTTGCAGTGGAAAGTATTTTTTAGCTGCTGTCTTTTTGCAGTGTAAACATCATTTTAGAATTTTGATGCTGCAAACATTATTTGTCCCAATTTGAAGCGCCACAGGTGGTATGCCAATGAAGGCTTTTCACCTCTGATGTGCCCCAATTTTCTTGTAACACCATTGTCAAAATGGCCACTCAGCTACACCACCCCAAGAGAGAACGTAATTTTAAGTGACAGCAATTCAGGCTCTTGACATTTGTTTAGCCAAATTTTGGGTCATCTTTTACAAGTGATACTGCTCACTGCCTAATATTAGTTCATCTCTGCCACCTGAGTGGTGCTTGCTAAACTGCAGCCACAAAAAGGCCTAGACCAGTGTGTTCCTGCTGAAAAGTTTCAATTTCAATGTTGGGCTAAACGTTTTATTAACAATTTTAAAACTTAGAGCCTTGAAATCTGACCTGCCTAATAAAATTTGAGCAGAATATGAATATTCATTGATACAGCAGCTATTGAAACTGAAACTGATTACTTTTGAGGCTGAGAAGAAATATAAACAATTTATGACTTGAAGAATTTAGTGAATTCGCCTACAGAATGTGATCCCATCCCTAGCGCAAGTAAAATTTGGATATGAGAATCAGTTGCAAGCAATTTGTGCGCTCTTCAGACAATGCAACTGTTCCTCCCATAGTGTGTTATCACATACAACAATCCCACATAACTCCACCAATTTCATCAATCTTTCATGCTAGTTCCAGAAATTGATCTTGTCAGCATCCATAAAAGCAAACTCAAAGCCGATTTTATTTCCCACAACAAGAATTACCACCAACAAGTAAAAGTGAAACATTACAAAAAAAACTCCAACTTCAACTGCTCGATGACAAATGCAAGATGCTAAGCAAGGAAATGTGGGGATACTTCCGTGTTATTTTACACAGGTCCATCTGCAGACTGTTTACGTATGGGCTAAGATATTAGTCTTGATGAAATAGATGGATTGTTGACCTTGCCATCCTCAGGAATTGCAAGAGCAGTAATTAAGGAGAAGAGAGTATCCAGTGAAAACTCCAACTTCAACTGTCTTTTTGGCATTAATTAGCTTCAAGAGCAAGTAATTAACTGCCCTTGACCAACGTGTCGTGGTATCTGACCTTGTGAATGTACCTATGGGGCCATATAATTGTGCAAGAACTTTCAAGCGTCACGGACCTGAGCTCGCTTTCGAAAGAATCTTGAAGATGGCATGGACGGTGGCTCGGGTATGGTGGAACCCAGGCTGGCGGCCTGCCCAGTCGAAGAACTTGAGGCAGGAGAGAACGTCGCCTTGCGAGGAGGAGCGGCCGTAGGAGAGGACCTGGAGTACAAAGGTCTCGGAGAGACGGAGGTTGAGGTGGGACAGCCTGGAGGATGCATCGTTCATGGCTGCTTGGCCATGGGAGTTTAGGATAGTGAAGATGCGGTCGAGGAGAGCTGTGTTGTTCCGGGCCTTAGAGCCAGTCCTTGAAGGATGCTACCAATTCCTTGGCGCTTGGGTTGGGAGGATGGACTGATGAGGAGTTGTTGGGAGAGGGAGATGGGGAAAGGATTAAACTAGAGTATAAGTAAAAATCACGATTTCGATTCTTCTGCAGGAGAATTCGACTGGATTTTGCTGCATGCTTGATTGCATTTAAAACCATTACCATTATCAATTTTCTTTTATTATTAAAAAATTAAAGTATATAACTTCTTGAATCAAGACAGAGTTACTAGGCATTCGATTCTCAAGCACTGCTCGCTCTTTAAAGTTTAGAGTTTAAAGTAGAACACAATCAAGACTTGAATAAAAAATTTAAAATTATACAACTATTTAAAATCGTAATAAATAAAATGTTCTATGTATTATAATAAAAATTCTCGATACATTCAGTACAACGATACAAACAAAAATAAATAAATTAAGAAGAAATACAAAATTTGAAAAAACAAATATATGTCTATCAAAAATTAATGAAAGTGTGTATGAATGACTATTTATCTATTTATTACCTAATTAAACTTGAATTATCCCTAACTATCTGCATAATTCCTACAAAAATAGAAGTGGCATGGAGCACTGATTGCAGGAGGAAGGATGGTGACAATCATAAATATATTTATTTCATCTATGGTATTATTTGTAGACTTCAATTCTCTTTATTATCATCTGGCCTAAAGAGTTGAACTGAGCGCTTGTTTATTGATTGCAGTGGCCTTGCATTAGTATCTGAAGCCTGCGAAAAATTGATATTAGCCTCCCCACAAGTATAATTAATGAAGATTGAAATCGATTACGATACTGTTAATTTGATTTTCCATGGTAAAATTTGAAACTTACATCATGAACGGCCACACGAAGCAATCTCACTTGCTCCCTGGTCACAGTTCCTCAACCTGATCAAAGAGGGGTTAGGAAGTGTTAGACAGTTACATCATGAAGAAAAGAGCAGCAAGATTAATATTTGAGGAAGGTTATTGCAAACCTTGCTGACAATGCTCCACACCACATTTTCATCACAAGGAGGAACAGTAAGGGAGCCAATGTATCTGTAATACTTCCTACTGCCAATTTTTATGTGCCTTGGATCGATCACACCCGCCACGCTCTCTCCTTCTGTGATATCAGTAATGCTTACCAAATGATCCTGCAACTGGTAACCAAACATGGCAGATTAAGTGAGAGACAGATTCCACTAACTAGCTAACAATCTTCATATACAATTAATCCTATCTGATCAGCTTAACACATGCAGGAATGAAAACTATATATGGATAGGGAAACTCTCATATTTACCGATGAGAGGAAAGAATCTGGTCTGCCAATCTTGTACATGATCCCTATCACAGCAACCTTGCCATCCGTACTTTCATGAACCAAGTGCGCCTCCATATCATACCTGAAAGGTTGAATTTTTCCATAAGTATTTGGTTCTTCCTTTTATGATAGTTGTTGGGTTTATGATCAGGGAAGAGAAAAGTTACCTTCTGCCATTGATGGTGTGCTCGGAAGGTGAGTGCCAATGGCACTGTTTGAGTGCATACTCAATGCCATTGATCTCTATGGCTCCTGCATCACCGTCCCATCTCAACTGCATACACAAATTGATTCAAATTACAGAAAATTTTTTGATAAAATATGGTACTGTATATGATCTTGACTATGATATAAGAAAATAGGAAGGAATTTTCTTCATAAGAATATGCTGCTGTTATCCCATAACATCTCACCTAATACGATTCTTTCAAGTCACATTTAACAATGATAAATTGAAAACCGTAGTCTTGGAACAACCATTATAGCATGTAGGGCCATTGTAAGATAAGATAAAAGAGATATTCCAGCTGGTTAGCTAATTGCGTTGGCATGTATCCATTGGAAAGTAAAAGAAAAGGAAACATGCCCATGAATTTCATATATCTAATACATATCTGTTAATCATACTCTATCAGAGAAAGTAAATAAGGAGAAAATGAGAAATGAAAGGGAGTTCTTGAAAAAAATTTTATGAGAAAAAGTGGAAAGTATAAACATCACAATTACAAAGAGAATATTTATCCCTCATTTTTTTTAAAAAAATTTTCATTACCATCATATCATGGCCTCTATTTCTTAGAGTGGCATTGCATGGCTTGTAGCTTCTCTTAAGCCTCCCGAGATGGGAAACAATATTAACTCTTTCGTTCGACATATCAATAGGAGACTGCATTGATCCATTGCTACATGCTCTCCATTCTGGATGAATCTCTCCCCATCTTGCAGGCCCTCTTGCACTATTTTTATTATAATCAAACTCACTTTCATCCTCTGCAACAACATCAACAAAATAAAAACTCTGATGATTGAAAACGAATTCGAAATATGGGATTGTTAAAACACCAAGATTTTCCCTTACCGACTTCCTGAGATTTAGCAGGGCATGAATATTGCAAGACGAGAACAATGGAGAAAATGCAAGCCAAGAGTTGAGTTGGTAGCTTTGCCATCTTAACTTGTTAATGTATAGCTAGTTGTATCTATCCCAAGAGACCTTTGATGCTAAAGAAATGGAAAGGGGGAGGCAGCTTTAAATAGTTTTAATTCCTTTGAAAATGTTGAAAAAGACTTCCCCTGGGTGTCGATTATTTTCTTTCCAGAGCATGCCCTTTTGGAGGCAAGTATGAACACAAGGAAAATCAACAACAAAGTTGATCGCCAACCATTCGTTAACCCCACAGGGTGGTCTTGTGCAGCATGTGCCTTTTTCTTCTTTTTGTCTTATAAATATTTGCTTCATTGGATTGACGTGTAGGCTGACGACTGAATCCAAAAGTGCTTTGAATAGAGATTTTTCCATATTCATTCTCAGACCCTTCTAATTCAATTCCTGGAAGCTGAAGGTGATACAGCGCAGAAGAACACTCACCAAAGACAAAATCCGCACCCCAGAAATGAAAAAAAAATTTAGAAACAATTTGGAAAATTCATTGGAAAGAACGTAAGCTGATGTGTATAACTTGATCAGCAATCAATCTGATAAGTTTTTGTTATGGCACAGGTTTTCTGCGCGGTTGAATTTTATGGGTCAAAAAAGGAAGTGGAGCAGCCATGTTTAAGCAAAAGTTGGTTTCAAGCTTCAACTGAATATTACTGGTACAAGAACTTTAAGAACCCATTGACCGGTCCTCGAATATTTACCAAAATGTCATCACCTACTGCCACTATCGCATAAAATATCCCTCTCCTCTGCTCTTCCTTAACCTTCTAATTACGGGTGAGTAATTTTTATTTAAAATCGAATTAATTGAAAAAAAAAATCGATTAGAACAGTTCAATTTATTCTTGGTTAGTTGGTTAACTCAAAATTTAACACGATTAAATCAATTCTTTAATTAAAGAGTGGTGGGGTCAAAAGCCATGTCAAAATTCGGTGATAGGTTAAAGAAAGATGCTTAATTTAATCATTATAATATATATCTAATTATATATTAAGTATAGTCGAAAACTTATTTTTATCTGTTGAGTTAATTTTTACAGCAGATTTAGATAATTTAATTAAAAAAATTTCTTAATCAAATCAACCTTTTACGCGTCTTTATTCTAATTTTAGAATCTAAAAATATTAGTTATAAACTAATTTAAATCATGAAGTACTATATATTTACGCTTTTCTCCTATTACTTATATATTTTATGTTAATAATGACAGATTTATTATAACATAAACATTGCTGTCATACCAAATAGTAGATTATAATATATTAAAATATTTTTCAATTGCTATTTATGAGGGTGGTTTAACGAAATTGTTCTCAATACCGATGGAGTCCAAATTACTTCTTTACAGCAATTAATTACCTAGTTAATTAATTAAAGGCCCTATGATCAACGGTGTTGCCATGATACAAATTAGCTAATTTCATCTTAATTTGGCCCAATTTTCCAACAATCAGTATGAACTGGTGGAGAAGAAAGATTGCGTATCTGCTTGTTCCTTAGTCAATACATATATAATTATAAGCATCTTTTGATCATAGCCTCAAGAAAAGTCGCAAATTTCTGCATATTTGAATCCCACATTGAGATTGTTGCAAGAGATTCAATAGCCATAAGCATTGTATCACGAAAGGAAGTGTTTCATTAAAATAAAGACCTCATATTATCATTATTACCCAGAGTTTTCATGAGTGGAATTTAATATATCGTTTTCTAGTCAATTTATCAAGAATACATTTAGAACAATAAATTCCGTTGTAGATGAATCGAAAAAAATATAATTTACAAAAATAATGATCTTTGTGCTTTTTTTATAATGATTCGAATTTTTGGGATAATTTATTTTTATGTGTTTCTCTTCCTTGCAGTGCATAAAATTTAACATCTTATCTCTTGTTTTATTAAAATAAAAGATCCAATATAATCTTTGTTGCTCAGGGCTTTCACAAGGGAGAATTTAATATATCGTTTAATAGTTTATTTGTCAAGAACATATTTATAATGGTTTGAATTTTTAAGATATTTTATTTTTATGTTTTTCTCCTTCCAATTAAATTCTTATACCTCCCAAAATAAATATTGTTCAGCATATTCCATATAGATAAGAAAAAACAAATTTTATGAAAATAGTGAATTTTTACGGGTTTTCTTTTGTTTTCTCTTTACCGTAATATGTAAAATTCAAATGTTTTATCTCATCAAAACTTCCAAAAAATTAAAAAAAAAAATAAAGTATATAGTTCAACAAAAATTACATGTTTGCCTTGTCAATAAGCTTATGCAAGCCTTGATGAATGTATATTAATCTTGTCAAAGTGTTGAACCGTTTCCATTATCTTTGACAAAGATATGATGAGATCACAAACCCGTAATGAATCTTCCTCAGGGTTGGGCGGTTCCTTTTCTTTTATTAAATTTCCTAGTCATGAGAAGAACGCGAATGCTGATTTTATTTGAAAATGCATACATAAGATGATGTTATGCCTTGACCAAAGAAAGGGTTTGTGTTTCCATTTCATTTGTGTCCAACAATTGCATCACCTTTGAAAAGAAAAACTGGGACTCCCCATAGTCTCGCATAGTACCAAAGAAAGGGTTTTGTGTTTCCATTTTATTTGAGTCCAACAATTGCATCACCTTTGAAAAGAAAAACTGGGACTCCCCATAGTCACGCATAGTACACGTTTCAAAATTTGGCAGCTAAGCTTGGAACATTAGCATACAAGCTTTCAAAGTTTCTATAGTTTTCTCCCAAGAAAGTGGCCAATATATTATTCCCAAATTGGAATGAGTTTGAAGATTCTACTGGTTTTGTTTGTCACGTTTTCTAAGGCTATAATGAAATTCATGTTTTTCTTTTTAAATAGACAGGATTGATGTAAAGGGAAGGAATAAGGGTGGAGACTGATTTATTTCTTTATAAAGTGATTATTTTTTCAAGTTGTCGTGATATAACTAGAATGTTGTTATCGAATCTATAATTGAATCATTTATGACAATAAATTCAAATCGATATTTTTATAATTATTGTTAGTTTATTACTACGACTTATGTTTTAAAAAAAAAACATTTCGTATAAGGAATTTTATCACTTGCTAACTTATAAAAGAAAAAAAAATTAAAAATCACATGTCTTTACTTACTTAGTTTTCATTTGATTACATATTAAAAAAACAAAGGATTTATTTTGATTATAATAGTAAAACACACATGGTTTCCCTTCACATTGTGTTTTGAAAAGAAAAATGTTGAAGAAATCAAAAAATTATTAACCAGTTGTCTTCACCAACCGTGGCCATGGTCAAACAACTGCTGTAAAACTTTTATTTGGTTTGAACATTTGATTTGTACACAAATTGGTACTATAATTATATTTTACTTCTTGTCTTAGGTGTGAGATCTTGGCTTATATATCTGTCTTTACTTCTTTAGTATGCAATACATGCATGGTCTGGAAACTGCAGAGAAACGAATCCTTGTGTTTAATTAACTAGCTAATTAACGTTAGGTTAAGCTTCCAACCAGGGGCCAGGGCGGCTGGGGTTTGGCCTCGGCTTCTTGTTCATGGAACTGGAACAAGAACCTTCCCGTAGTTATTTGTATACTTTGTTTGACCCCAATCAGAAGATGTATGTGGTCCTTTACAAGTGGTATTCATGAGAAATTGCTTCGATCTATCAAAGTACTTCAGTATTAAAACAAAGCATTGTATTGTGTATTATATGTTTGCTCACAAAATTAAAATGGAATGAATCCAGATCAGAACCTCCATGCATTGCCATAAAATATCTTCCCCTGTTATACAAAAAAAGTCAGAAACCAAACAAAACACCTATACAAGAGGGAAAACCTGCTCTGGCAGACAAAGTGCCGACGAATTTGCTCTCGTTACACCAACTATTGCACCTGATGGTCAATGTTAAAGGTTTTTTTTATCATTATTATGATTCAACCAATTAGTAATACATTTCATTATCACCTGGCTAATTATTTCAAAGGGTCAAGGCATCAGCAATTTTGTACTTCATAAACATCATTGCTTATGCAATCCTATTTGGGTGTATAAATGTGGGTTGAATCCATGTATATATTATACATTTTGATAATTAATTACTTTTGGGTTGAAAATTTTCTCAATTTTTTTCCTTTTTTTTTCTCTTTTGGTAGGGGGAAAGGGGGGGTGATGTTGGAAGGGTGACAAAAAATGATCTGAGAAAAAGCTAGAAGCTAAGCAGAAGGAAGAAAGAAATGCTCTTTTCAATGTGTCTAGCCAGTACGTCACGCTCGAAAGGTTTTTCAATGAGCAAATAAAAGATGTAAAATTTTCTAACTAAAAATGTAAAAGTAGATGGTATCTTGAATTTCGAAAGGAGAGTGTTTACATTATGCTTTGAAAATTATCTAGACATATCACCTACCAGCTTGTCTCTATTAACCTGCCACATGTTGGGACATGGGACTTTATAGTTTGAACTTGAAAAAGTTCTTCCACAGATTTTCTTTCGCTGTGAAATATTGACTTACGTATACACTACTTATATTATGTGAAATCGCTCTTTAGATTTGCAATTTGGTCTGACCTCCCTCTGTTTTGATACCATTTGGTCAAGGCCATGGGATGAGGGTGGGATTTAGGGCCTGCATTGCCTTGGGCCAAATTTGTACTAATATCAGATTTGATAAAATTTTTGGGCTCAATCCAATTGGACCAGGCTTCCAAAATTGTCCAGTATAGAGGACATTTTATCTTTTGCTGTTGATTGGGTTCCTGCACCTTCATATGGCCGCTGGGGCCTGATCTATTGTTTGAACGAATTGACATGCTGCATGATGTTATTGGAGGCATTCTCTTTTGGAATGTGTTTAAAAAATGAATTCATGGTAAAAATAGATGAATAGAAGTGAAATGGTTGTGGCTTGGCATTGATCAAGATATTTAGTTTTCGAAGTTATTATATTGCTGGAGTTAGGTTTTGTGTATCAAATTTCTTAAATGTTTTCAAATGATTTTGTTCGGATGTGATTAATAGCATATATGTAATAATTTGATATTGATATTTTAAAAAAAAACCCGTTTTAGTAAAATATTATATCGATTACTATATTAATATATTTATATAGCTTAACCAAATAAAACAAATCCTCTTCATATCGTGTGTAAAAATTTTAAATTGCGGTTTGTTTAATTTTTAACATTCAATTTTATTTATAGATATAAAAATTTGTAAAGCTCAATGTTATTAAAAAATAACCTTATTGCTAGCTATAACTTCATAGATCACAATAATTAAAGGACGTCTCTACTTTTGCCTATTAGTGGTGAGATTAGAGGTACAATAATTGAAGGCAAAATTAACATTGTTGGATCATAATTACGAGCGTGATATTACTATAGTTCACTTCAATCAATCAGCATTGCCATTCGCCAAATCCCTTGGATTTGATCTTTCCAGCTAAAGACAACTAGATAAAAACGTCTCTCCTCATGCATCTCAGCTCAATCAACAAGTAGTGGAAGCTAGTTTTCAACCCCCCAAAACACATGTTCCTCATCTAGTTGCCAACCACGTGTTGGACTAAGAAAGATGAAACCAGATAACCCCCCCACCCAACAAAGCAAAACTAGAGAGGGTTGTTCGCCCTTGCTACAAAGATGAGTGCCAGCCCTTTTCAGAAGGCTGATTTGTGCCCTTTTATCATCACAGTTCTTCAGGTTATAGAAAATACAGATTTTTAGGTGTTTTTACTGCCTCATGGTGTCACAGACCTTGACTTAAAACCTACAAAGTAATATAGAATGATGGGAGAGCATAAGATCTTTTGATTGCTTTTGCTGTTATTTTAAGTTAATAATAGTGTATGTGTCCAATAAGATGCAGTATTGGTGTGGATAAAATCCTGCGAAGTTCCGCAAGACCATTGATGAAGTAGCTGTAGCATTGCAATTGGCTACAATAATTCACCCCATTACTCTTTATAAAAATTGGAAGGGATCTTTATAGCTAGAAAGTGATCATTTTTTAATTTATATATATATATATATAAATAAATTAAAGTAGTTGCAGTAGCAAATTGTTGAGAACGAACAAATGATATCATGCAGCCTAGTTTGCAGTGTGAGCACTGAGCTTCTCCTAATATTTTGTTCGCAAAAGTTCCTGCTGGACTTTCCAGGAAAGTAAAATGCTTACAGACAGGCATATTTCTGGAGAGATATGTTGCAGATTAGGCTGCCAAATGGCTCACAATTCCATGATCAGCTGGCATTTAGATGATAGATTGGTTTGGAAGCAAGTAATCATTAAGAATTCAAATCAAAATCCAAGCGTCTCACCTGAATTAGAGATCCCTCAGCTTCAAATTTTGAGCTTCAAGAAACTTCAGGTGTATATACTGTGCTTTGACATCACCAGGCAATCAGAACATCCACTCCTTATCGTGCTTCATTGACTTTTGCATCAACTAAATCCACTCCCAACGTGGAATTTTCCTATTTATAGACTAGTGCCAATGTGGACAAATAGTTTCTTTCAATCTCATCATTTTAATCTATTTTTCTAAAACAACTTGTATGAGACCATATGGTCATCCCACTTAATATTGCCCCATTTTGGTGGCGTTCCCATCACCAAATTTATCAATGACATGAACCTTACCCCGTCTGCTTATATATGGTTTAGCGTTTCTCTTCTCCCCCCTGCAGCTCTCCCCCAAGGCCATCAACTCTACTTACTTGGGTAAGTAAAAGTCTTGCTTATCAAACATTTGTAGCTTCGATATTTGGTTCAGGTTCAGAACTTAATAGCTGGTCTACATATCTCACTTATCTGATATTTGTAGACAGGAAAAAGAAATCAATGGGTGCAAGAATGAGGATTAATCTGGCTCTTGCTTTAGCAACATTGATGGTGGTGATGATGAGCTCCTGCTTGGCTAGAAAAGTTATCAAAGTAGATGTGCTCAAGTATGATGACACCATTGTCCATGGCCGGCAGCTGCTTGATGAAGGCAGCAAAGTCGGAGCCGGCTCCCCTGAGAACAGTGTGAACAACCACCATCAAATTCCGAGGCAGAACTACAATAACTACCCTGTTGGTCCTGGAGATGGAAGGTGAATCGACAAGAGCAATACATGGTAATGGTGTGAGGAATAAATTACCTACCGTTTCGGATGATGATATGATGTTGCTTCATGTTTAATTAGGTTTTCCCATACATGTACCTCTGTGATCTAATTAGCTTCTGTATCGTGCTATGCACTTTGTATCATCGTTCTGGTTGTAGTTATTTATATATAGCTTTGTTAATATATTTGCATGCATGCACGGCTAGTTGCATTGCAATGGAGATGACCAAATACATGGTGAGTGCCAAAAGACCATCACAGAAACAGGCTGGTTTCCTAGTCGTTTTCATCGTTACATTCATGGGCTGACAAAGTGTCTTCTACTGGATCATTTTTCCACAAATCAGGAACTTCGAGTGTGGGCCATTTTAGACATTGACGAGCAGCACCCACTATCAGAAATTAGATAAATAATTCAAAGGAAAACTTGCAAATGTCCAGTTAAAGAAGTGGCCTAAAATTGCATATATTTCACTGGCAATTCCCCATTCTCCATCAACCAGTTCATGTAGCAGTTAACAACAATATCAACGACCAAGAAATTTGGGCTCCAGAAGTAATCAACGTGCACAGATTTCATTCCGATAAATTCTTTCGGCATCTCTTGTTTATCAGGCAAAACAAGGGCCGAGATGATTTCCAAAAACAAAATTCCTGCAGGTGCCAACTTATTGATGAATCTTGGATGTCAAATCTTTCTTACCCTCAAACAGAACAAGTCCTATACAATTGTGATTACCTAAAATCCTACCAAGACAAATCCAAACCTCTTCCCACAACTGGCATTGCAAATCAGACCCCAAACATTTTATTCCTGCCCGTTTCGAAGGTACCAGTACCACATCAACATGAATGGCTCCCGCCTCCTAACTAAAACAAGCACCAATTAGTGCATGGTGCCATCTCCTACATTCAACATTTTAGCATGAGCAACAAATACTGTCAAGGTTACCTGCGACTGTGTGTTAGCAGGATTTTCCTTGCCAAATTTTGGAAAATTGTCACAAGGAAAGACCATTATAAACTCAACCGGCAAAGTCATGAATCATTTGACCACCGAATTGCTGCCTAAGCTGATCCTCCTGTCGTTGATATTGTTGTTGCTGCTGTTGTGAGCTTTCTACACCATGCCTAAGTCCCAAGGTAAGGGACACAGCTCCAAGGCCACCCATCTCAAGCCTGCTTGGCTGGTATGGTGCGAAACCCATCAATGAACCCTCCATGCTTGTTGGGATATGAAAATCCATCCTTGAGCGTTTCTCATGATTCCAATGTTCTTCATGTGCATCTCCAGTAATGCCTTCGACATGCATATCTGCGCAAGCCATCTGCTTGTCAAACAGCACGTTTATACATGACCTGTTGATAGATTGGTCTTCATTAGGCCGGCTAGGACCTCCTTCACCAGATTTTCCATCATTTTTGCTAGAGTTCTGGCCTTCTGCCAAGCCTTTGCTTTCAAGCATGTGTATTTCTTCCACCATTGGTTTCCAAACACGAACTCGTGCGTTGATGAACCAATTAGACACCTGCATTAACAAATCAAATTGTTATCATCAGAGAAAGAGATCAATGCAGTTTTGCATTATAAAGTCTTTCCAACTTTATGTCATTGTGAATTCTACTCCTAACAAACGCTACTCTCATGCCACAGCATAAGGGTGGAAATTGGTGAAATGCTGTTCAAGCTTCTGAAATGAACTTCAGGACTTCAGCGATATACCTAAGACAATTTTCAATGACAGATGCTTCAACTCAAAAAAATGGCGGGAAATAGATATTCAAAAGCTTGGTCTACAAGCCAAATCAACAGCTTAACTGTGCTAAATTCTAATTCAATCAAACCTACGCCGTCAAACTAAATAATCAAATAACATATAGGTAGCAGAGCCCACCTGATTTCGAGAAAGACCTGTTTGAGTAGCCAACATGTGCTTATCTGTGTCTGTGGGGTACCTAGAAGAAAAGCAGATACAGAGAAATTAACAACAGACTACTTAACATTTGAGAAGAAATAAGCAAATAAAGAGAAGACTTGTAGACTTACGGATGAAGAAAATGCTCAAAGAGCCAAGCTCTTAGAATAGCCACCGAACGTTCCGGTAGGCCTCTCTGGGGCCTCCAGCCGTGTTGTTGGGGTTCAAGGAAGCCCATGTTAACCCCACCAGATTTCTGACCCACATACTTTAGTCTAGACATATTTATATCACCTTTGCTGCTGCTAGTACCGGTAGTTGCGGACAATAAGTCCTCCCCCAGGGCTCTAGATATGTGCCTGATCTGATCTGAAATAGCATTCCTTAGACACCGAAAGTTCCTTGTAACTGTCTTGAGAGCCAAGGAAATATAAGGGGTGGCAGCGTTAAGACCAGCTACTGATTCAAAAGAAGAAACTGCCATTTGCATCTGTTGATGATATAGCTTGTATCTTCTGCACACCTTTCAATGGCACAGCACAGACAGGTTCTCATAAGAGCAAAATTGAGCTAGCATTACTTAACAATAAAATGATAAAACAACAAAGAAGAAAACACACATAGGCTCCTTTGTTAAATATGAGAAGATTCTTCACAAAATTAATTTAAATGATGAGGATTGATGCTCTTAGGACAATAATGGTTCAAAACAAGGAAAAGGATAATGGACAATAATGGTTCAAAACAAGGAAAAGGATAATGGAAGTTAATTGCTAAACAGCAAATAAACTGTAGTATTCATTTTCTAATCACGAACCTTGGCCTAATTAGGAAAATCAATAGTAACACAGATCCACAACATGAGTGTAATGTCAAACAGCATTACAATATTATTTCAACCTATAATGGGGCCTTCAGCCAATGCAAGACGACAACTTATTGGGGTTGAAACTCTTTAATAAAGTAGCTTTGAAAGAGTGGCCTGCACTGTTATTTGCAATGTAATTTGATTTGAAGGTATACAGAGATGAAAGATTGCATTGCTATCCAGCAATTCATTACTGCTTCAAAATTAGCAAGAATATGATTGGAATTTACTGGAAAACCTAAAATGACAATGGGCCCTTTGGTTCCCGTTCTGTTCCTGCGCGCGGCTAAACTCCAACTTGAAAGTTGTTCAATGCTGGCTTACTTTAGTTGTTGATTTGATCATTATACTTATGCATTCTAACACCAGTAAATAACAAGGTAGCATTTCTCCAACAAGTAACAACACTAGCACCGATACCCTTCATTAAACTATTTGAGGTTAGATAAATTTCACTAGGAAATCTTTTGAACAAACATTATAATTCATCATCAGGTCTTAACTGCAAAAACGTAATTTCCTACCAAGGAAAAGATCAAAATAATAGAGAAAAAGGACCTAGCTGGCTAGATAACACCCCAAAAAAAGTGTAAAAGGAGTACAAAAAATAATCTTTTGATAAAGCAGCAAGCAGTATTTGCATTAACTGCAGTCTGACAGCAAAATTGAAAGTGTACATCAGAGAGAGCTTGTACGCAGAAAAGAAAAAGGAAATTATATCTAACTAGCACCATGTCAAGATAGGGGAAAAAGAAAAGAACTCAAATAATTTATGCAAGTAGACAAAAGAAGCAAAAACCCAATTATTTAAAGGCTTTCTTAATAGCTACTAGAAGAATAGGGATCATGATGAACTCATTACTCCCAAAGCATAAAGAAATAAAACTATGACAAGGAGTAGCATGTAGCTTTAACCATTTTGGATCCCCAGTTAGCATCACATTTCACCAGTATAACTTGTTTCTGCAGGCAAACATTAGAACTATGAATGCTTTACATTTGGCATAAATTCCTGTGGAAGTGGCACTAACAAGCCTAAAATCTGCCAAGACATCACGCAGCATTTTGTCAATTAACAAAACAACAGCAGGCTCATGGCTTTTTCTTCTTTGGCTATAATAGCTAGTGCAGAACATGCAGATACAATTCAAAGACAACTATAAAGGTTGATCAAATCAATGATTACAGAGATCAAGGTTTCACCTCAGATATGATCTTCTGCTAAGGGTTCCAAATATTACCAAAAATTTCTCACAAACCATTGTTTCATTTTTCGTATCCCATTCTACTATTCTACTACCCGTCTAGTAGTTTTCCGATATACCAATTTGCAAGGGTATGCATATGGATGACTGGATAACCCTTATGCCAGTAGACATGAATACAAGGTGTTGGTCATTACACCTTTCAAAGTCATAACACTACAGACATTGACAAGGAATGGCCAGCCATGTATTATGATGTTCCATATAGGAATATACATGCCTAAAAACTCCTAAAAATTTATTAAACAAGATAGACTGGACAAAACATTAATTATAAGTTATGAGATAATTGCTGATACTTAACAAAGAAATACAATCCTTAGCCAGCACAACACAAAAGTAGTACAACCGAGCTGCATTGATTGGGGGGTGGGTGTGAAATATATGAATTATCAGCAACTCTTACAGAAAAGACCAATGCTATATGCACAACCCTATGCTATGTCTCAACAAGGTCTATAACCAATCACAAGACGCAACTGCTAGACTGGTAAAATTAAAGGATCAAGTCCTAGCAGAATGTGAACGCAATACAATTAAAAGAAAATAAGCCATGCATTTGAGCAACTTTGAATTATGAAGAATGGAATATGTTTTGCCAGGAGTTTCTTAAACATTCTGCACAAGGAAGAAAATATGAATGTACAATAGAAGATGAAGTTCCAGATGCAGGTGCAAATATGGATTCTATGGATTTTTTTTTTTTTGGTGTGTTAATTCAGCTATTGCAAGAAACTGTTAATCAGTACATCATTTAGTTTAAAATTGTCATCAGTTAATGATCTATGCCAATAAAGGATAATGATTTATTTGTGTTGATTCAGCTCCATGTACCATTTCATTTGGCTCTTAATATCTTCAACATTGCTGTTAAGTTTTCACCTTCCACTACACCATTTTTGGATTTTTTTTTTTTAGGCCAATTTTGGACTCAAACGAGACAAACAAATTAAGACTCCAATTAGGTTTATCAGTTCATTAACGTTAAACACAACTAATTTTTCCAT